TAGCTCCCGATAAAATAAAGTTACTTTAATTTACATCTACAAACCGAACACTGATAATCCAGAGTTGGAAAGAAAAGCATTTTTAGAATTTGACAATGATGATTTTATATTATGTGATGATTTTAATCTGGCTCTTGACCCTTCAGTAGATACAGAAAACTATTATAGCACGACAACTTTTAGAAATTATGAATGATTTTCAAATACTTGACTACTTTAGGATTCTCAATCCAGATTTTAAAATGTTTACACGGAGAGAGAAAAATCAACTAAAAATAAGGTCGATGAGATTATATTATAATTTTTGAGAGTATATGTAATTTGGTTTAAAATTTAGCACTTAAATTAGGATAAGATCAGACCACTGTTGTTAAAAATGTAACACCCTTTAGGATAGGAAAAGGTATTTGGAAATTTAACAAATTTCTACTAACAGGTAAAAGAAGCAGAAGTTTGTTTCACACCATTATGAAAAAAAGAGAGATTTTCTTACAGAAAAAAAAAATCAAGAAACAGAAGGGATTTCTTGTACATCTGTATTATTATGGGGTTTCTATCTGAACAGATTTATATCCAAAGAGACTGTCGACAGAGGAATCCTTGCACCCTATCTGTCACTTCTTTGTACACAAATTCTTGCAATTATGATTTAAAAAAATAAAAACATTTAAGGAATTGTAACCATAAGAACATAAAATACTCCAAAATGCAGATTATACCTGGCTTGTCCTTGATGGTTCACCTGAATAACTTTTTTTCAGCATTGGATACTTTTGATTTAACAGTTTACAGGACTTATAATTTACAGCTCAAAAACTAAAATTAAAACTAATAAATTATGCTTAAACTAAATGATATAAATTCTGTACTCAAGTTTTTCATTATTTTCGCTGGAAACTTGAATTTGTTCGCACAACTTTTACTTCATTGTAACTAACTTTTCAGTAGATTTAGATAAAATTATTGATATATTGTATATGAACTAAAAAAAGCGGGCTTCATATTTTAGCGGCTTTGGCGCAGACGATGCGCTAATTCATGAATACCGCTAAGAAATTATTTATGTATACAGTACACTGCACGGACATGTGTAGCGCTAATTCAAGATTACGCCAACAACTCCATACCCAGTGACTGCGCTTAATTTTGAATTCGCCAATTTACACGTACAGTGTAATGTACACGCACAGTATGATATATTGTTCAAGTTCCAAAAATAAAGCATAAATTCGATAATGGAAGAGTCACAGTTCTGAAAACATAAGTTCTGCCAAAAACTTAACTATCTTTTTATACTTTTACAAAACCCTAGTAAAGAAGCAATACTATTACTAAACCTAGAAATCTTCTAGTTTAAATGGAAATCAAAATGTGACAAAGCTCAAAAAAATATTTATTTACAAGGAGGATTAGAAATGGTAGACAAAATCAGCTTTTGGGTGACTCTGGATTAAAAGGCTTACGAAAATCAATCAATCATGCTTTGATTTTTTGGTGGTAAATTGATATTACATATTGTTTTACGTTTTTTTTTTATTTTGGTATAGAGTTTGTGTCTTGTTATAATAATAAAAAAACAACAATGATTTTGGGAAAGCTGTGTTTAATTCATGGCTTGTTTTATGGAAACAATAATAACAAGTCATATATGAAAACTATGTATCGGATTTTACCTGTCTTGTACAAATCTTATTAAAAAAAGATTTTGAAAGTAGATTTCATCTGTCTAATGTTCGCCTTATGCAATACAACAGTATTATTTGTGCTATATCCAGGTATTTATAAATAATGTCTTTTAATAAATCATCTGTCAGGAGGGAGTGTATCCCCTCAATTCCTTTTTATTTTGAAAATAAATATTATGCACTAAAATAATTTATAGACATATGAATAACAACAATGTTACTTCTAGATTAATATCTAGATGAAACTAGGAACTATCGTTTCTTTAGAATCTTTTATTTGTGTTCGAAATGTTCTTAAATTTTGTTTTTAGAACAACTATGGATTCTTCTGTGCAATGGTTACAGTACAGAATCCTTCATACATGTATAATCCTTTCAGTCAATTGCTATTTGAAGAACACAGTTTTTATACAGTGATCATTGTAATTCTTGCAAACAGAAGATGGAAACGACGTAACTTGTATTTTTGAATTGCTTAAAAAATCTCTTCATTGTGGAGTAAACTTAGTATGCACATATTCATGAAAACTTCTAAGAGAGTTGAGTTTTACACATGTTGTAATATTTATGGTAAGGCTCCATAATCTTTTCCTATTAGGATGGTACAGTAGCTCGATCGGTAAAGAGCTTGCTCCTTGATCGGAAGGTTGTTGGTTCAAACCCCGGCCGCGACTTGATAAAAAAGGTAGCAACTGTTCCTTCGCCAAGCGCTCGAAACTTTGAAGTGAAAGTTGCTGATTGTCTCATGAGACCTTAAAAACCGAGCCCACGTGTCACGGCGGACAATGACACGATACAGATCTCTCACTGCTCAATCGTCTTGAGTGCCGAATCAAGATCTAAATTTGAAGCCCTACACCGGTGTATAGTTACATCTATATAAATGAAAAATTCTCGAACGGGACGTACAATAACATTTGATCAATCAATCATTGCTAACATTGTGGTAAATTCTATTATTTTATTTACAAAAAAATATATTTTGTCCTTTCTGAAACAGAACAAATACTTATGATTTCTGGACAGCGACATCAATTAACTGATAATTACAAAATAGAAAAATGCTTATCAATTCAAAAAAAGATTGATTGATTGATTGTATGTTGTTTTACGTCCCATTCGAGAATTTTACACTCATATAGAGACGTCACCATATACCGGTGAAGGGCTTCAAATTTTGACCTTTACTCGGCACTCAGGGCCATTGAGCAGTGAGGGATCTTTATCGTGCCAACGCCTGCTGTGACACGGGGCCTCGGTTTTTAAGGTCTCATCCGAAGGACCCGCAACTTTCACTTCAAAGTGCCGAGTGCATTGCGAAGGAACAGTTGCTACCTATTTTTAATCGACTTAGGTCTGTCGCGGCCGAGATTCAAACTCACGACCTCCCAATCGCGCTCTACTGACTGAGCTACCGTGAACGGTTTCAAAAAAAAAAAAAAAAAGAAAAGAAGAAGAATAAGTTTGCAATATGTACATTATTGTATTGTCCGCAAATTCTTCATACAAAATAAGTGTAAAATCAGTACTTTTATCCTGGATACTTTATTTTCAAAACTTCTGGGAAATGTGTTTACAATGTAATATGAAGATAACAAACAGTATTCAATCTCGAAAGTCTAATGAAACGATACAAATTCGGAGCACAGCAAACACGGACCTCAAAATTTAGAGATGTGATCAGGTGCCATGGAGTAGTGAGCAACCGATCACACCCGCTGATTTTACAGATGCACAGATATAAAGAAGGGTTTATTTCTTATGTAAAAAAAACCTTCATTATTATTTAAATCCCATCCTCCTCTTAAATTATGCGTCATAGAATCCAATAGAATAAGTGCTCTCGGCTACTTTATTCCATCTGATATTATAAGCAACTGTCGATTATAAATTATCTGTAGCTTAAAAAAAATCATCTTAACATATCTAAAAGATATAAAATTACTTTGTTGGATAACCATGAATTAACATAAGTATTTGAAATCCAAATAACTATTAAGTCTTATTTCATTTCGAAAATGTACACCCCTAAATTCTTTTTCACTATTTTGAAGAATCGTGCTTTTGCGTTAACAACCATGATCGTTCTTGTAACGTGTAGAATCATGTGCGTGAAGGATCGTTTGTAGAATTTCCTTGGAGAATCGTACGGAATCCTTCGTGCAACGCTATCGTCCGTGTATGTTCTCAACAATAACCTTGCAGCCACTGTATGCACCAGCCCTTCTCTCCAGTCTTTTATCAAATATCTAGGTAAACTAACAATCCAGCACTTTCTGGGTATTTAACCGTTGTAACTTATGTTGAAAGGAAATTTTTAGAGGGATTGATGTGGAAATTCACATTTTATGTCAACCCTCTGTGTCTGTCTGGAAAACATTCAACATTGAACATTACTGTCGAATGGTGGGTGCTAGGGTTTTCATATTTCACGTGTGTATATCTTGTGACAAGACCTTTCTAAGGGAACAAACATATCTGATCTTTTGGCCTTGGAACATGGTCTACATTTACAAAAATTCACCAAACTTTAACCGTGGCCATAATTTTCAAACGGTTGCTGGTATGGCTATATTTCGACGTGTGTTCCCTCTGATCTGGACTTCGACCTTGGCCATAACGGTGGAACAGCGGGCGCCAGGGCTCTCATATATCTTCTGTTTATTCTTTGTGACAAGACCTTTCCCTGGGTACCAATATTTTTTACCTCATGATTTTAACGTTTGGTTTGACCCTCATTAAAAAATCTTTAAAATTATCTATAACCTTTGAACCTGTGGTACCATACAGGAGTATTAGTGATTCACAAACACATTTCTTTCTTTTATCTACTCTTATTCAGATTTCTTAAAATGCACATAATAAAACAAACTTATAACGAAGTGCCAGAACTGTACGATTTTGCTATGCTATACACAAAATTCATTACTTCAGTTAAGTTCACAAAAAAATTTAAAGCCACTAGAAATGAAAATAACTTCACTTTAAGCGTCAATTTATAAGAAGCATGATCGTTGCAAGCATGTTTTACTGAGATATACTGCGCATAATAGATGTATTTTTATCTTCAAAATACATAATTTATATTTTAAAAATTTTCTTGATAACCAAACAAAATCTTTTTTTTTTTGAGTGAAAGGTCCTCCAACTGACACCTCCAGTACATCACTAGTCATGCCTTCGGGTTTTTTCCAGTAACATATTTTACTTGAATTCACTAATAATACTTAATCTTGTTTCACTTAATTTAAGATGTAACTATTTCTGTGGTTATTACCAATTATGCAAATTCACTTAGTAAATTTATTTTTTCTAGGTAAACAGTTTCCTTAAATTTCCCAATGGACCCGCGGTTTAGCGCACAAGATGTCCTGCGCTGTGACCTTTGTGAGACTCCTGTTCCTCCAATGTACTGTGACTTTTGTCATGTCAAACTCTGTAAGGCCTGTGTAGGGGAGCATCTCTCTGATTTATCTAAAGACCATAAAGTGGTGCCATACAAACAAAAGGGAACTACACCTAAATATCCAAGATGTTCAACCCATGTAGGAAAAATTTGCGATCTTCACTGTGAGCATTGTGATGTACCTGTTTGTTCGCTTTGTCTTTCATCAAACTTTCACAAAAGACGTAATTTATTGAATTTACTGGAGGTAAAGAAATCCAAAGAAAATGCCATAGAAAAAGATGTCCACGAATTAATTAATTCCGTATACCCTAAATATGAAGAAATTTTAGTAGAGATAGGGAGAGAGAAAACAAAGAGTGAAAAACATTATGAGAAATTGACAACAGCTGTCACCAAACAAGGAGAGGACTGGCACAGAAAAATTAATATCATTGTCAACAAACAAAAATCTGAAATTGATGAAATGAAAACTAAACACTTGGCTCTTCTAAATAAACAAGAAACGGAAATTAAACAAATCACTTCTGATATAAAACAGTGCATGAATGATTTCAAGAACATACTGGGTTTAAATGATGTCTCCCTAACATTTGGATACAAATCCAGGAATGCTGAGTTTAGAAGATTATATCCTAAAGTCAATGTATCATTACCAAGTTTCTCTCGTCATCAGATCAACACAGAACAAATCATTCAAATGTTTGGTTCACTGTCAGCATTATCCATTACAACAGAAGAACATGACTACCCAGTGAAGACACCAAAACCTGTATCCTGCTCTCCAGTCAAACCACTGCTTGATGAACCAGAGCTCATCACCACCTTAGACACTGGGAATAATAGTCTACTGTACAGTGTTAACTGTCTCAGTGATGAAGAAATCTGGACATGTGGAGATGACAAATTCATTAGACGCTACAACCATCAAGGCAGACTTCTGAAGTCAATCCAAACCAAGTCAGGGAACAGACCACGTGACATAGCAGTGACAAGGAGTGGAGATCTAGTTTATACTGACCCTAACACAAAAACTGTTAACATAGTGAAGAATAAACAGATACAGGAAGTGATCAGACTACAGGGGTGGACACCTTACAATGTCTGTAGTACCTCCTCTGGTGACCTCCTGGTTACCATGGGCAGTGATGAAGAACAAACAAAAGTTGTCTGTTACTCTGGCTCCAAAGAGAAACAAAGCATTCAGTTTGATAGTGAAGGTAAACCTCTGTATTCATCTGATTACTTTAAATACATCAGTGAGAACAGGAACCTGGATATCTGTGTGGCTGACAGAAAAGCGGGTGCAGTAGTGGTGGTTAATCAGGCAGGAAAACTCCGATTTAGATACACTGGTGATCAACCTATTACCACGGGATCATTCGTTCCACGCGGCATCACAACAGACAGCCAGAGTCAGATCCTGACAGCAGACAGCTACAACCACTGTATCCACATCCTAGATCAGCACGGACAGTTCCTCCGTTACATTGATAACTGTGATTTGTACTTCCCATGGGGTTTATGTGCGGACACCAGAGACAACCTCTTTGTAGTTGAGTGTAAGAGCAGTAAAGTGAAGAAAATAAAATACATGTAAACAATGTTTATAACTAGATGTGTCAGTGATAGAGGTTTGATTCTGATGACAGAGGAAACTTATAATGCTTTGAAGTGTGTCATTTTTTTTTACCTTTTCCGATACTATATGTTTTATTTCAATTGTTCTGTCAAAAACCTGGGAGAGTTTGATTACTTTTCGTTTTCTAGTAATCATAGTGGACAGAGCTTCTTTACCAAAACTTGGGAAAATCTGAACTGCAATCTAATTCTAATGTTGTATACGGAATAGAGTGTACCCTTTGTTGGCTTATTTATGTCGGTTAAACCAAGGGTTCAATTTTTAACAGAATATCGGGGCATAGATTTCAAATTAAGAAATAGAAGGAGGGGGCAGCAGCTTCTGTACAAGCATTTTAATTTACCTGGTCATTCTATTTTGTCAATGAAAGATAGAACTCTAGAGAAGACGTGCCATCATACTAATAGCCCATCACTGAGTACACCTTTCCGTAGACAACGAGAAGATGTGTTCATGTTTTTCTTCACCCTACTACTATAGTCCTGCTGGACACGACATTAATGGTGACGTATTTATAGTTAATAATGAGAACCTTAAATCACTTATTATAAAAGGGCAAAATTTAGTGTGGGAAACGCGATCTTTCAACTAGCGTACTAATTTCAAAAATATTATGAATTCTGTGAAACATTACACCAGACGATAGGCCAAATATGAAAAAAAAACCTTGACACTTTGTTCAAAATGGATTAAAAGTATCAGATCGATGTTGAAATCTCGCATTAAGCGATTGAGGGGGAATATGAAAACCATTTATCCTACTGTCTTCCACAATGCAGAAGTGAAACAAGAATAAGATAGATTACAAGATCAGTATGTACTGGTCCCAGCTGACAAAGCAGGTTACAATATTTGCTTTGTAAGGCTCATTACTGGTTATGTTTTTTATAGGAACTACGATTTTATTTTGCAAGTGGCAATCCTACTTATACCCATAACTCAATTTCAAAGCTTTCATAACTCTTTTTCAATACCATATGTCAGTCTTAAATATTTTTAAGATTCCCAACAATCAAAATGAATTTAAATTACCATACTTATACCGGATTCCAAAACTCTATAAAATCCTTGCAAAGATACATAGTTGGTTCGAGTAATTGTTCTACCAAACCTCTTTCTTTACGCCTCACTAAAATATTTACAGAGTGAAGGGAAACTTAAGGAGTACTGTACAGCAGTGTATCCGAAAAGTGGTGTAAATTATATGTGGATACTTAACAAATCCAAGAAGCTTTTAGAAAATTTGAAATCACAAAATTTTACAAAAATTTATAACATCAAAACGCATGACTTTTCAGCACATAATGCAACCATTGCCCTCGTCTTTTTGACGTCATAGATAGCTGATTTTTCAATAAAAAATGGAACTTCTAAATATACTTACCTTGTCATTGGTCATTTTCAAACATTTTTTTGTTAAAAAAACATTCTGATTGTACACAAAAGTACTCTGAAGTTGAAATAAAAAAGATGTTTGAGTTTCTGATTGACAATATCTATGTAGTTTTTGAGATCAGATATTTCAACAATCTGTTGGAATTTCCATGGGTACCAATTGCTCCTCTTTATTAGCAGATCTCTTTTTGTACTCATATGAAGCAGAATTCATTCAAAACCTTCTTCATGCAAAGAAGAAAATATTCGTTTTTGTCTTCAACTCAACATTAAGATATATCGAAGACGTATTACCAATAAATAGTTCCTTCCAATCATATGTTCTTTCGATATATCCCAGTGAAGTTGAAATAAAAGATACTATAGAATCTGACACGTCTGTTTCAATTTTTGGATTGTTTACTAGAAAAGCACGTTTATGGTAACCTAACAACAAAACTTTATGATAGATAATTGTTAGGCCATTATTTATACACTGAATTGTCGAGGGATTTTTCCATTATTTTCCGATCATAACAAGGAGCACACGGTGGGTGTGACCGGTTGGCAGGGGATGCTCACTCCTCCATGGCACCTTATCCCACCTCTGATGTTTTTCGAGGTCCGTGTTTGCTTACTCTCGATTTCTATTGTTTTGATGGACTTTGGGCTTGGATGCTTTTCTCCATATTTCATCTAACCAGTATGTATCTGTTTACGATGTGTAATAAAGTTTCCGAAAATTTTGAAGTTAAAGCTCAAAGGGGAAGTCAAGGTAAAAAAAAAAATATGACACAGATGAACGTCTCTCTTCCCAGTCTGTACCACTGTATGAAGTTTGAGGAAAACGTCTTGAATATTTTCTTTGAACAAAGGTGAATGCAAAGTTTGAAGAATGTAGAGGTGAGAGAACAGAAGAAAGGATAGAAAGAGGATCAGAAAGTGGACGAAAAATACTACGTACGATATCCCCTGGCGGCCATAAAAAGTAATGTTTGAAAAATTCATGCTTTTGATGTCCGCTGTTAAATACCCCGTAGAGCTGACTTTACATGTACAAATAGTGTTTTCACAATAATTGAAATTAAAATTAAAATTCCCCACGATAAATTAATTGATTGATTGTTGTTTTACGTACCATTCGATAATTTTTCGCTCATATAGAGACTTCATCATATTCCACTGAAAGGCCCCAAATTTAGACCTTTACTTGGCACTCAGGGTCATTGATCATTGAGGGTTCTTTATCGTGCCAACGCGTACCAGGACAGGGGCTTCGTTTTTTAAGGTCTCATCCGAAGGACCCGCAACATTCACGTCAAAGTGCCGAGCACTTGGCGAAGGAACAGTTGCTACCTCTTTTTTATTGACTTGGGTCAGTCGCGGCAGTGATTCGAACCCAGGACCGGCGCCTTCCGATCACGAAGCAATAGCTCTACGGACTGAGCTAACCTGACTGTACCACGTCAATTTTCAGTCCAGGCTTTTTGACATCATTGACATCTGCTTTTTTAAATAAAAATAGAACTCGTAAATTTACTTACCTTGTCATTAAGCAATTGGAAAACTATTTTGTTAAAATACATTTTTACACAAGTACTCTAAAATTGATATTTAAAAAATAACGTGCTTGAGTTTCTGATCGACAATTTCTTTGTAGTTTTTGGAGACCAGATCTACCTTACAATCTGTCGAATTTCCCATTTTACCAAATGCGCCCCGTTATAAGCAGACCTATTTTTGTATTCATATGAAGCAGAATTCTTTCAACACTTTACACGTGAGAAGAAGAAAACACTTGCTGTGGCCTTCAACTCGACATTTAGATATATCAATGGCGTATTATCAATTAGCAATGATTACTTCAATTGATATGTCGACTCGATATATCCCAATGAGCTTGAAATAAAAGATATCACAGAGTCTGACACATCGGTTTCATATTTGGATATTTTTACTAGACAAATGCGTCAATGGTATAACCTTATAACAAAACTTTATGATAAACGTGATAACTTTTCTATTGTCAACTTCTGTTATTTATGCAGCAGCATACCCATATCTCCTGCATATGGGATTTACATGTATGTCTCCCAGTTGATTAGATACGCAGTAACATGCTCTACTCACATTGTACAATAATTTTCTAAAACGATGCATGCTATTGCCAAAAAAGTTTATGAAGAAGCAAGAATATCAGCATTATCGTTTAAAGTCATCATGTCGCAGGTTCCATGGTCGATACAATGACCTTATCAGCAAATACATTCTTCATGAAATCGATTGCTGACTTGCGTTTTCCATACTAATTGTTAGGCCTTTATTTACACACTGAATTGTCTTTGGATTTTTTACTTCGTTTTTTCTCGATTATGACAAGGAACCCACGGCGGATGTTACCGGTCGACAGAGGATGCTTGCTTGTCTATGGCACCTGCTCACACTTCTGATGATGTTTTAGAGGTTCTTATTTGTATTTTTTAAATGGAGTTTTTTGCATGATTACTGTTCTGCATCTCCATATTTCATATATCAGGACTTCAAAGCTTGTGTATCATTTGGAAATTAAAGCAATCAATATTATGAGATAGACTTTGAAAACTATTTAATTTGTTTTGAACAAACTTTATTGTATAATAAATAGAAAGAAATTGGATACAAGTTCTAACAAGTTGGAAACATTTTTTTTACTGAATAATGAAATGATTATAATGATAGTCGAAGGAATTAATTACATTTGTATGAAAATAAGAAAATAGAAACTGTTCTTGTTTGTTAGACTCATTAAGTTTATTGTATTTTAGGGGAGCTGGGAATTAATTCTGAAAGTGGAAATCCAACTTATATCAAAAGCTCCCTTTAAAAAGAGGAAAATTCTTTAACTCTCTACAACTTACTGAACTGTGACGCAACATACACTTAAGGTCAAGATCTAGTAAATGAAAGGTGCCTACAGATTTCTCAAATTTGAGAAATAAATTTCTTTAATGGTGCTTTATAACTTTAGCTTGGTCAGATAAGGTGTTTCGGTGCATAATTTGTAGATGAACAAGACGAAAAATCGTATTTTAAACTGTCATTTTCAATGGAAATTAAGAAAACTAGTCATGAATACGGGAGTTTTTTTCCGTATCAGACAAAGAAATGCATCCAGATTGCCTACAGTCTCTCAGAAAACGATAATTTGTATGTTCTTGGCCTCTTCTTTAAAATAATATTAAATTGGATATAGGTATCGGGATTACTTTTCACATGATTTCAAATTGAATTCTATGAAAGTATTTTATTTTCTACAAAATTCTACTAGAGCCGAAAAGTACGGGAAAAAGAAAGTTAAAATTGATTAAGCCGTCATAATGGATCTAGCACCGAAAAGTTAGTCTGAAGTCATTTACTAGATCTTGACCTTAATGTTCATGTCATAGAAATATGACGTTACCTTTTCCTCGCAAGCACTTTATAGCTAGGTACAAGTTTCTCTAAAACTTAGCGTAAATAATTATGACGTAATATTTTAATAAATTTATGACTTTTCTTATTTTATGAGATTTTAGCAAGTATAAATTAGAAGGAAATTGGCATTAAATTGAAGATTAAATTTACTTTTGAAAGTGCGTGAAAATGCGTGATTGCGGGGAAACGGTATATGCGTGATTTTGCGTTAGAAATACATGTAGGAAATGGTATATGCGTTAAAATGCGTGACTGTGGGGAAGAGGGTTAAAATGATATGTCATTTTTAAATATATTTAATATTCCCAACAATCAAATTGAATTTAAATTGCGATCCATATGCTGGACATTTTATGTACATAAAAATCTTTACAAAAAAAGATACATAGCGGGTTTCAGTATTTGTTCTACCAAGCCTCTTTCTTTACTCCTCACTAAAATATTGACGGAAATGAAGGAGAAAGTTCAGGAGTACTGTACAACAGTATATTCGAGAAGTGATGTCAATCAGATGTGGATACTAAAAACCTCCAAGGAACTCTAAGAAAATTTGAAATCACAAATTTTACCGAAATCAATAACATCAAAACTTTTTTCAACTTTTTATACAATTATTCCCCACGATAAATTAAATTCCAGTCTTTTTGACATCATAGACAGCTGCTTTATTCAATAAAAATGTAACTCGTAAATTTACTAACTTTGTCATAGGTCATTTAAAAAATTTTTTTGTTAAAATATTTTTTTATGAATATTTTTCTAGCAAAAGACGTCGTTAATAGTAACCAAAGAACAAAACTTTATGAGTTTTAGTTTTTGAATATCTACATTAACTTATGTTAAAAAAATAGTGATAAACCTTTTACACATGAAAGTGTAAGTAAATCTTATATGCCATATCAAACATTTTGCAATGACTATCAGTACATGTTTTTTAATCAAACCTGGTCATAAAATAATCTGATCAGTTACAATTTCAGATTATTATAACTGTCATTTTTGTTTCAAAATTCTAATACACATACACATTCGATTACATTTTAATTCATGAATGTAATAGATAGTTTTGCGATTTATGCAAATTATTATTCATTAATTAGTTAATATACCCCCCCCCCCCAAAACCCCGTAAATCTTTACCTTCAGTTTTTTCTCAAACAATATTAGCTTATGTTTCATTATAAAGACTGCAGAAAATAAATGTGAAACATGAATTCAAATTTCTGTGAATTATTGTAGAATTTTCACCCGGGCTTAAACACAGATGACAGCCATGCTGGAAAATGCCCTCTAACAGAATATCCAACTGATGGCCAGTTGGATCTTTAAATATCCTACTAGTGATGGTTGAATCGATAAAATATACGTAGACTACTAACAATGGGTAACGTCATTGAAGTTTTTTAAACAGGACTAACCATTGTTATGAGGTGGGTAGAACTATAGTGAAAATGTGACTTCAGTCTAGTCGAACTATTGGTAGTTCGATTTAACCATAGTCCTGATAGTTTCAGCTATTGTTACTATTGCTCGTGATCTAAATCACCCTCCACTCTGTTATGCTTTATTCACCATTTGCTGCGTGCTGAGGTGATGGGTGAAGAAAGAGATGGGTTATTTTGGTACAGAAGTCAGTCTATTCTCCTCAGACTGAAGTTCTTATATCCTGGACTTTAGTTTTGTAATCTCTTCTTTAGCTATTACTTTCTTTGTGTCCTGGTCCGAGTTTCCGTTTTTCAGCATACCACTTTAACTTCCTGTTAAGTCTCTCTATCTCCTCATTATATTTGTCTTTTAACCTCTATAGTACATTAAAGAATACATGCAATTTGATATCATAGGTAACATAAAGTAATTTTCATAAAAAAAGACTAAGTAATCTTTAATTTCTTATAATAATGTTTAATTTTTCAAAGTAAATTTGAACAATTGTTATGTCAATCGCTGAAAGAAATGTTCAGTTGAAGGCAGTGAGAGAGGTTAGAACAGAATTTTCTGATAATCAAGAAAGATCATTTATCATTAGATTTTAGAAAATACATATATTCATGTCTTGTTACTTTCCCTAATATAAATACCGGTCGTGTATTTTCATCCACCGGGTATTTTCTCCTATTTTTTTTTATATGAAATCCCTTAATCAATCTACACGTGTTCGAGTGTGTACATGTAACACTGTGCACAACAAAGCACAAAACACTTTTAATATAACTGGACATCCCAGCCTCCTAATTTTGTATTCTTGTAGTCCTAAATATAGTGCCACTTCATATTTCTGGATTTCAGATGAAACCACATCTCAAGGTCGTGTAGAATAGTATAAAAGCACCAATTAACACTGGTAAATTATATCTTAATATGTTTATTTGCATATAATTATTATATAAATATTGACCTTTACCTTCAGTCATTTAAATCAATATGTGAGGGACTGGTTATAAGTAGACCAGGAAGATTGAAAAACCAGGTAAGCTATGAAAACCTATTAGGATCAATACTAGTATATATATGGAGAAAAAAATTAGGCCTTTCAAAAAGGCGTTATTTCGCCTTTTCGAAAGGCGTCATTACGCCTTTCCAAGAGGCGTAATTACCTCTTTCAAAAAGGGGTTATTATATCTTTCAAAAAGGCGTTATTACGCTTTTCCAAAGGCGTTATTACGCCTTTTCAAAAGGCGTTATTACGTCTTTTCAAAAGGCGTTATTACGCCTTTCCAAAAGGCGTTATTATGCCTTTTGAAGAGTTGTTATTATGCCTTTGAGAGGCCCATGAATTTGAAGGGGGGAGGGACAGCCTCTTAAAAAATTGACAAGTAGCCCCCCTCCCCCGGCCTGTTTGAAAAGGCGTTTTGTGCAAAAATGGAAATTTGTTATTTTATACTAATAAATATATGAAAGATTGAATCAAAGCCATCTTTATTTATGCAATACTGTATAGGGGATTAATTTCACGGGTTGTAATTTTCACGGTTTTCTCTCCTCTGACACGATCGCGGTTTGTTGAATTCGCGGAATTGGTATATAATAACAGTTACCTTCCTTGTCCATATCCGTTTAATTTATTAATAGCATAGCTAGAGCGGCATTAATCAGCGTTATGTATTCACTTCAGGAACAACAGGGTAGGTTTATAAAAAAAATAGTTAGATTCAATAATTACTTGACGATTAATTAAAACAAGTGCAGTTATTAAAAGTCCTTGATTATAAACGTCGAATGACTTTCCTATATGCTATTACGATGAGTGCATGTACACCCCGAGATCTTCTTTCCAAAGGGATAATACATCGCGGCGAAAAACCACTGGACGGTAATAAATGTGTTAATGTATGTCGACGAAATAATATCCTTCCACATCTTCAGCAAGTTCGATAGTTATTTGAGTGATTTTTTAAAATCAAAATGTCGATAAAAACTATTACGCATAATAATGCAGGTAACAAATACACGAGGTAACATTAGTTACGCACAGGTAATCAAAACCCATGACCCACGTGTTTGGATTGACGAAACATGTAACGTTGGCTATTAAAACAGCTTTTTGACAAACACATGATATTATCTGCTGATTTGAATTAAAAAAGCGTGATAATTAAAATAATTGAAGGACAAGTACTACTCGTAATTACTGAAATGACCATGTACTGCACGTAAAAATACCTACCGTAGTCTATTTCCAAATTTCCAAATAAAACATGGAGGTTATTGAAAACTTATTCACTGTTTCTTGAATTCACGGATTTATTAACACCGTGAATATAGCGAATATTAACACCGCGAGTTATTTTCCCCCTATACAGAATTTAAAGGTATTTTCTATTTTCTTGCACATCTCGCAGATAACTGTTTGCATGCGTATTTCGAGAAATCAACACTCTACTACAGGACATAGGCAGATGCAGCTTGGGGCTTCAATGACCATGTATTAAAAATTCATGTCAAAGAGCTAGGTTCACTTTATGCATAAATTGGCCCTGTCCTTATATCAATTAATCGACTATCAACCTCTATTCCATTTCATATATCAAAATAAAGTAGAGACTTAGTGCTTTCATTTCCCATCACAAAATTTCTTTTTGAGAATCCAGGTTTTGGAAAACAAGCTTTGGGAAAATGCAATGTTCTTGAATTTTGCGGAAAACATGTGTATTTGACTACCTTCAGCAAAGAATTAAAATATGAGCACAGCCCACGATCCAAAAATTAAAACATGTTTTGTGATCTCCAGAAACTGATCTATCATTATTTAATTGCATATTTTGGATCAGAGGTTGTGCTCTATATGTAATATTGAAAAAATACCTCAACTTTTGGCCATTTTTAAGGGAATTTACAGGATATGGGAAAAATGATGCATTTTATGACGTCATAATGCATTGACTAGAGAGAAAATTACGTCATGTTCAATAGATACACGGTCACCAAGGGTCCAAGTTATAAATACTACATTTTCAACCAAAACTGGGTAGTTTTGATTTTTCAGAAATTCTCAGGGCAAAAAAAGGCCGTAATTGGCTCTTGCTCTTTGAAAATGTTTTCCTTTCGTTTATGGAAAAAAGCAGGCAAACTATTTGCATGGGTATAATGAGCAAACAGCCTTCAACCAAATTTGTGAAATCCATGACCCTTGGTAGAGGTGCCTGGCATCAGAGAAGGACTAAGTTGGTTTATCAAAAATATATATCACACATTTAAAAATCTTTCTTCTGAAAATCTAATTACAATGTTTAAATTATTTTTGAAAAATTAGCCTTATATTTAATTTCGAATTTCAAGTTTCAGTAGCCCACGGGGTGGGTTAACTTAGTCATGTATTGAAAATAAAAAACGTAATAACGCCATTTGGAAAAGCGTAATAACGCCTTTTGGAAAGGCGTAATAACGCCTTTTAGAAAGTAGCAATAACGCCTTTAAAAAAGGTGTAATAACGCCTTTTGAAAAGGTGTAATAACGCCTTTTGAAAAGGCGTAGTAACGCCTTCTAGAAAGGCGTAATTGCGCCTTTTTTCGCGTTGTAATGCCTTTTCAAAAGGCGTTATAACACCTTTTTTTCGCGTTATTACGCCTTTTCGAAAGGCGTTCTAACGCCTTTTAATTTTTTTCTCAATAGATTGATCCTAATAGGCTTTCGTAGTAAACAACACACTGCCATGTTGGAATAACGACTTGTGTAGAATTCGTAAGAGCCTTGTTTGTTTGTTTTTTTCGTTTTTGTTTTTGTTTTTTTTTTTTATCAGACGATTTTTCTTTAAAATGCAATGAAATTGTTTTCCTCTCTTTTGATTTTGTCCTGAATTTGTCCCGATATTTGAAAAAGATTTGGAAAGAGGCCGGGGGGGGGGGCACCAATGTACTTCTTTAGTGCATGAGTAGATTTGCCCTTGTGGATTTGACAGTAGGGTTTTTTTTACTTGAGTCCTCTAGTAGAAAATATTTTTTTTGTTTCACTTAATGGAGAGGATTAGTTTATAGCCGAGTATAGGTCTAAATTTATAGCCCTCCACCGGCAAGTGGTCGATATGAGTGATAAATTCTCGAAAGGGACGTCAAACAAACAAAGCATTAATTTATAAGTAAAAACGATTTTTTTTTTCTAGGTAAACAGTTTCCTTAATTTTCTCAATGGACCAGCGAATCAGCGCCCAAGATGTCCTGCGCTGTGACCTGTGTGAGACTCCAGTTCCTCCAATGTACTGTGACTTTTGTCATGTCAAACTCTGTAAGGCCTGTGTAGGGGAGCATCTCTCTGATTTATCTAAAGAGCATAAAGTAGTGCCATTCAAACAAAAAGGAACTACCCCTAAATATCCGAGATGTCCAACCCATGTTGGAAAACTTTGTGAACTTCACTGTGAGGAATGTGACCTTCCTGTTTGTTCACTCTGTCTTTCATCCAACTTCCACAAAGGACATAATTTATTAAATTTACTGGAGGTAAATAAATCCAAAAAAGAGGCCATAGAAAAAGATGTTGAGGAATTGTTAAATTCAATATGCCCTAAATATGAAGAAATTTCAGCAGAGATACATGAAGAAAAAGCAGGCCTGGATAAGCCTTATGAGAAACTGACAACAGCTGTCATCAAACAAGGAGAAGACTGGCACAGAGAAATTAACATCATTGTCAACAGACAAAAATCTGAAATTGATGAGATGAAATCCAAACACGTAGCAGCTCTAAATAAACAGGAATATGAAGTCAAACAGATTACTTCTGATGTAAAACAAAGTATTCTTGATCTCAAGAAAATATTGGATTCCAATGATGTTTCTCTAACCTCTTCATACAAATCCAGGAACGCTGAATTCAGAAATATGCCTCGTAAAGTCATCGTTGCATTACCAACTTTCTATCCTCATCAGATCAACACAGACAAACTTTATAAAAAGTTTGGTTCTCTGTCAGCATTATCGATTGCAACAGAAGAATATGGCTGCACAATGAACAGAGGAGAATCTGTATCCCGTCAAATTAAACCACTGCTTGATAAACCAGAGCTTATCACCGCCATTAACACTGGATCTGACGGACTAAAAAGTGTTACCTGTCTCAGTGATGAAGAAATCTGGACATGTGGAGATGACAAAATCATGAAACTCTACAACCTTCAGAGCAAACTACTGAGGTCAATTGAAACCAATGCTGGAAACATACCACGTGACATAGCAATGACAAGGAGTGGAGATTTAGTTTATACTGACTCTGATACAAGAACTGTTAACATACATGTAGCTAAGAATAAACAGATACAGGTAATAATCAGACTACAGGGATGGATACCACAATATGTCTGTAGCACCTCCTCTGGTGACCTCCTGGTTACCATGAACAGTGAAAATGAAACACAATCAAAAGTAGTCCGTTACTCTGGCTCCACAGAGAAACAAACCATTCAGTTCGATAGTGAAGTTAAACCTCTGTATTCATCTGGTTTCTACAGTAAATACATCACTGAGAACAGGAACCTAAATATCTGTGTGGCTGACTATGGAGCCCATGCAGTAGTGGTGGTTAATCAGACAGGAAAACTCCGATTTAGATACACTGGTCATAACTCTTCTACCAAGAGATCATTCCGTCCACGTGGCATCACAACAGACAGTCAGAGTCAGATCTTGATAGCAGACAGTGTCAACGACTGTATCCACATCCTAGATCAGGACGGAAAGTTCCTCCGTTTCATTGATAACTGTAATCTCCAGCAACCATGTGGTTTATGTGTGGACACTAGAGACAACCTCTTTGCAGCTGAGTGTCGCTGCGGTAACGTGAAGAAAATCAAGTACATGAAAACAAGTTTGAAGGCCTAGTGTCCCTATGCCCTAAATTTCATCCTCAGAAATTAAAAATTTCCAACATTGATTTAAATCGCCAATAAAAAAACCCTTTATATTCCAATGAAAAAAAGTTGAAAGAACAAAGTGAGGCTCTCTTCCTCATAAATAAATTTTGAATCATGTATATTATGAAATGAAGAAAATGTTACACAGTAAAAAAGAATAAAAGTTTTGTAAATATTTATACAGTACTACATGAGTGTTTGTCGAGGAAGAGGTGTGCGTACTATATATTGTCATGTACACTTATAAAACATTTTGTATTATAGCTAGGTCATTTGTTCTTCTTATGATCTTAGGTTCAAGCCTTCTTTACATCTTTGTGCAGAATTTATTCGAATTTTTTACAAACTGTATTCTAATATGACAATCTTGATAGAAAATGTTTTGGTAAATTTAAAAAAAAAAATAAATATAGTCTTGTTCTGTTGCCCTCTTACAAATACCGATCAGGTTTTTACATCCAATGGATATTTTAACCTTTATTTTATACAAAAGCCCTTAATCAATCTACACGGGTTCGAAAGGGTAACGTTTTAAATCGATCTGTATAATCAAAGATTTCTTAAAGAGCAGGCTCTTCCATAGCTATAACGTACAGATTAATAATAAAATGTTTTACGTAAATAACCAAACAAGTAATCCTTAAAAATATAAATAAAATCAGAAAATTCTCTTTATTTGTTAAAGCGAAGGTCAATTGTTGCAACCATTGCAATTATAATAAATTTATATACTATAATCAGCTTAGACGTGTTATTTTTTTCTGCAATGTGGCAATCGTTAATCCCCGTATAACGAAGAAAATATTTTATATCTTAATTAAAAAAAAAACAAAAGCAACAACAACAACAACAAAAATTTAATAAAACAATTCATTTTTTAAAGATTCGACCTCAATAGTTATTTTTTTTTATCAATTATGTATGAAGCTAATCTACTAAACAGCTCCGAAATTAAATCTAAATAAATCTTCTGTTTCAACGGAAGACCTACTATTTCTTTGCAACAAGCTTAACTATATTTCAGATTAAGGTGTTTTATCTGAATGAACAACAAATTATTCTTAGGTTTCTTTTCCTTTAAGATCTTCATGTCTTGTGAGCACAGGAATGCACACTTTTAATATTACAAGACATCCCAGCCTCCTAATTTTGTATTCTTGTAGTCCTAAATATGGTGCAGCTTCAGATTTCTGTTCCACTTTGATATTTAGTTTTTCTTTATATTCTTCACTTGGTCCTTACTTCTTGATTTCAATGTGCTATGTGTCCAATTTCTATTTAGGCATAAATATGCAAGATAAATTTACCAAAAAAAAAAAAAAAAAAAAAAAAAAAAAAAAAAAAAAAAACACTGTTTTACGAGTATGAATATCAAAAACTGATCCTTGCCAAGGAGCATCAGATATCTACAATATTAAGTATGAGGGTTGTCCATGACGGTTCGTAGTCAAATGCTCTTGTTTTCTTAATAATGACCACACTGTCAAATAATGTTTACGATATTTTTTGTCAAAGCCCATGATTAAGCAAATGTATAAAAAATTAAAATAAAATACACTAGTTTATATGGAATCGAAGTCACGTGACCCAGTCTGACGTTTATCATGATGACGTCAAAAATATGGATTTTGTATTCTTATCCTTAATTGTGGACATAAGCTATTTTTCTTTAATATGGCACATTGCTAAGTTTGTGCAATAATAATTTCAAACGTATATATAACCCATAATTGAGTAAACTTTAAAAATTCGGGACAATCCACGATAATTTACGAGCGTCATCAGAATAAACACTTCGTATACACAGGCTGTTCGGTCCAGTTCGACGGTACGCTAGATTTATAACAACGTAATGCATAGAAATATCCTGTTTTCATTCAATAACAGTAGTTTTCCAGTTCTTTACTAACTGTAAAATTGTACACACCTTTGAAAAATCATATAAACCAATTTCGAATCAATGAACTAAATTTCCGATTGTATGAATGAGTATTTTGTCTCTGACGTCGTTTCAACTGTATTAAACATTTTATGATTGAATGGTGTTCCATTCGGTTGACCAACGTCGCTTTTTTTGGGTCAATTTTTGAAACATTTCTTAAGGTTTTTTCCTTTATATTTTCATTTTCTATTAAATGAGCTACACTAGCTATCACCGCTTTATTTTGAGATACACTTTTAAAATTAAATTTTGGCTTTTTTTCTGAAGAAAATAATCATTTTACATGTTTTAATATTTTTTAACCCTGGGCCGAGCGCACTACCTGCGACCATAAAAGAATGTGATTTCCCCCCTCAAAATACTAGTATTAGTTTCAAGGAAAAAAAAACCCCTACTATTCTGACTTGAATTTTCATTACAAATATATTGGTTTACAATAATTATATCTAGGACCATTAAGTTGGGCAAAAACGTCACTGCCTACGAACTTTATAAACAACCCTTGTACATCCCCAGTGACCCTCTGATGGATATAATGTGTCTGATATAACAAACATATTCAGGGACTGGAGTACAAAATTGAAAAACGATTAAAGTGTATTGTTAAGTTAACATATCTTTATTATACAATACTTATATAAAAAAATAAATAAATAAATGACAGTTTTTCTTTAAGGAATATGCCATCAGTGACATAATATGGACGGAACCACAACTTACCTGTCTGTATGACATGGTACATTACGATTGTATAGGTGTCTGTATTATCCAAGTCCACTTTGATGTAATTATGTGATAATCGTAAAATATAGTAAAAATAACAGCAAAAAACGTATGCTTGTCTTTGGCAAATAAGTAATGTTTGATCAATCATATATTTGATCATTCAGTGTAAAATAACCTTTCTTTTATTTTTTTTATCCTTTAGAAAAAATGTTCTTTAATGTGACAATTTGGACTGTCTCATTTTCAATTCAAAGAGATATTCTGGCGATGCTCCCATATCAAAAAACATGTACAACAAAAATCTCAGTGTCCTTCCTCAAAACTGCTAAAATACACAGGAACCTGTCTGCAGGAATATTCTTGCTAAGCCTCTTCTTCATAAAAGGAATGAAATATAATGCACCATCAAAACTACATTCAATAGTAAGTATCCATATAGTTATAACAGATTCTAAAATCCTATTACTGATAAGACCTGCTAGGAATAAGTGTTACTAGTCCTGACTGGTAAAACCACACCCTGTTTTTGTAACAGTCTTAACACATCCAATATGGCGTCCAGCTCCACTCGGAATCTCTGGATCTCTTGGTTCTTCACCTCCACGACTTGTTTCCATTTTGCCGCCTGCTGTTCTAGTTCTTTAGTGTGGGAGTCCTTAGATTTCTGTATAACATCCTGTAGTTCTCTCTCACGGTTCTCATGCTTCTTCTCTATACTGAGGATCTTGTCTTCTATTTGTTCAAAATGTTTCATCCCCTTGAAATTGAAAAAAAATTATGTTGTCAATTTTTGCTAGCTAATACTGTAAATTATTACAGGTGACTCTCGATCTCTCGAAGTTCAAGGGACCGTAACAAAAGTTCGAGAGATCGGGGGGTTTGAGAAATAGAAAGTGAATAAAATCCGGAATTTTCAGTTCCGATCATCATTGTTCTACTATTATACATACCAGAAGTGTATGTTGATAATGTCATTACACGTTTTCATTCGTATTTTACAAGTAATTCACTTGATTTCAACATCAATGATAGTATTTTGATTAAATAAAATGATTATTTTAAGTTTCAATATCTATTTGTTCTCGTTTCATGATTACATGAAACCTGAATAGCAATTGTCGATTTGGCTATTCGGTCCTTCACAAGGTTGCTCGTAATCGGTATTCAATTCCTCAGATATGATTTCTTGTGCAATTTTTACCAAACTGGGATTGTGTAGACTCTAATAATACTACTAATAAAAGTTTATAATCTATGGAAAATTACTGACATGTCCCTAAATTATTTTCTCAAAATACAGGAGAGTGGTACTTTTTATGATACACTTACAGGAGATATTTTTTACTATATACTTACAGGAAATTGGTACTTTCTACACTACACTTACAGGAGAGTGGTACTTTTTACATTACACTTACAGGAGAGTGGTACTTTTTGGCATCCCTGAGTTCCTCCTGTAACTTCTCTATACGTGTCATGTGACTGGCCTCCTTAATCTTAAGTACAGACAACTGTTCTAGTTCTACCTGAGCTGCAGATAACTGTTCCCTCAGATGCTGGATCATCACCTGTAGACAAAGGACAATCATGTACACATTATGTTTTCTAGTTCTATCTTCACCATTATACTGTAAAATCACATTAAGAAGGGATCAAATTTTAGTTGCATGAGGAAAACAATATTTGATTTGAAGGGATTTGATTTTGTGGCCAAAGAAGAAAAATGATATTGTTAAATAAAAATTTATCATTTTGTGGGATAAAGGATGACTGCACTTAATGCCCGTTTTGGGGTCTTTTTCAGTTGCTTCTTTTGCTTTTATATCTAAACCTTATTTCACTTTTGTATGTTTATGAAAGAATCCTGTCAATTTGGAACCAAATTTAAATCTTAAAATAATTTTAGACTGTGATACAATAAAATGATTCAATGTTTTTTGTCCTTACTGCTTTCCAAATATAGTGAATTTACACTTACTTGCCCTTGATTGAACATCAGATATGCATGAGAGGTGGAGCTAACATTGTGAGAATGGGTCTAAGATTAGACTTTATAAATAACAATGACATGTTTGAAAAAAGAACATGATGACTCTTTCCAAGCTCCCTGTCCATTATGTATGGCTCAAATACACTTCTGACAAAGGTTTCAAAACGAAATTAACAATATGAGCACGTCAATGTAATTAAAGCAGATTTTATATCAATGCCAGATTACTTAATGTGTTCGAACACAATGTCCTAGTTAGCACAAAACATGCTACCTTACAAGTCACACGACGGAATTTAGTATTCACAAAGTTACCTGAGGTAAGAAATCACATGGTGAATTATATTCAACATGTCACAATCCTTGGTTACAACACGGAGAGCGAATGTAAGAAGCAGTTTTTTCTCTTTTTAACCATGAGTGCATGTTTGTCTATTAATCTCCTTTTGACACATTATTATTTATGCAACAAGAAGTCTGTGACCCAATGCTCACGGATAATACCCCTGCTCTGATGTGAATACACAAGTTCAGTTATGGACAAACTCAGTGATAATCAGGAAGTTGACATTGGATTAGTAAAAAATGAATCCCAACATATGGCATGCCTAAACAAATATTGTGTTAAGATTTCAAGCACCTGCCATGAGTAGCAGGGATGGGCACGATTACTGTAAAATGTAATCGATTAATAATCGATTACTTAGAGGAATTTTGTGTAATCGATTGTTAATTGATTACACTCATTTTTTTCCTGTAATCGATTGTAATCGATTACTTTGGAAGATGTAATTGATTAATAATCAATTACTTTTAAGTTTTTATCCCTTCAAATATCAAAGCAATATTTAAATGGTAAATGTTGATGTTATCCACTGAAGTTTGTGTTCCTGCAATTTCAGTGCAGATCCTTTTAAGATTTTATTCTGGCTAACATTCTCACTAAATGCCCAAATGAGGGATTCTCTCCAATGGAACGTGGAGACATGATTCCTACAATAAAATATGCCAAGGAATTAATTATTCCTTTCAACCTTGGATCCAAACCTCCATATTTATTGACTTGTTGAAAAAATTATTCAATATTTTATTGTGAATTATTCATTAGAAGTTTTTGGGCTGCCCGTATGTTGACAGTGCACATAAAAATTCCTGTACGTGTCTTTTTTCAAAAAAATAAGTAAATTAAAATGAACTCTTAGTAATAAACATGTAAATTAAATGTGTCTTTAAGTAATTTAACTAATACATGTAGCACAATTTCATTCTGTATTGAAATAAATAAGTGTTTTGAGAGCTATTAATTTTTTTAATAATATTGTTTGTCTTCAATGGAATGGGGAAAGTTAAACACTAGGTAGTTCACAGTTTACACCTCATTATCTGCTATCAGGGATATGTCTCAGTCAATTAATTAGCCAATTAAGATAAGCAAACACAGTGACACTTACTCTCTCTCTTACAGACACTCATAACCTAGCTCTCACTGATTTAAAAGCAACCTTACAATTTTAAATGAAAACATGAGAATGATTTTTCAAATTTTAAAGTTACTAAAACACAAGTTTGAAGTTGTTTAAACATTTTCAGGTATGAATAAGTATTTCCATCTTCTTCTTTTTTCGAGTACAATGTAGTTTATTTACCAAATTATTTATATTTTATACAGCACTTAAATCTGTTTTTGCTATTTATAATTTTCTATTACAAGACAAAGTTTTTCAACATCTGAAATATGAAAAAGGACATGCAGCAAGAGGACAGTGGGTCAAATGTACATGTAAAATGCACACAAAAAATCTGTACATTTTATTAATAAATGGTTGAAATACACTTCTGAATTATTTAAACTAGACCAGTAGGTCTATAATGCAAATTTTATTGAGAACATTATTAAACTTATGATAAGAAATGTTAGGAAATCCAAATATTACACTAGGTGGTTTATATTTGATATTTATGTGTGACTGACTGGAAATAATTCTCTAAAATAACATCCATTTATGTATAAATAATCGAAAGTAATCGAAAAAGTAATTATAATTACATTGAAAATTTTAGCTGTAATCGATTAAATTACGATTACAAGTGATCGAAAATCTCTTCGATTACAGATTACTGTCGATTACTTGAAAAACAGTAATAATTACAATCGATTATGATTACTCGATTACAATTACCCCATCCCTGATGAGTAGTTGCTGAGAAAACTATGACCAAAATTTGTTATGTATGGTACTGAGAGATGCACGGATAAACTGTAAGTTTACATCAGATAAAAAAAAATGAATCCCACCATATGACATGCCTAAACAAAGATTGTGCTAAAATTTCAAGCATCTGCGATGAGTAGTGGCTGAGAAAACTACGACCAAAATTTGTTATGTATGGTATGGAGAGACGCATGGATAAACAGGAAGTTGACATCAAATTCGTACAAAAATGATGAATCCCAACATATGGCATGCTTAAACATGAGTGTGTTAAAATTTCAAGCACCTGGGATGAGTAGTTGCTGAGAAAACTGTGACCAAAGTTTGTTATGCATGGTACGGTTAGACGCACAGATAAACAGGAAGTTTACATCAGATTCGTACAAAAATGATGAATCCCAACATATGGCATGCCTAAACAAAGAGTGTGTTAAAATGTCAAGCATCTGCAATGAGTAGTTCCTGAGAAAACTGCGACCAAAGTTTGTTATGTATGGTACGGACAGATGCACGGATAAACAGGAAGTTGACATCGGATTAGTACAAAAATGAATCCCACCATATGGTATGCCTAAACAAAGATTGCTAAAATTTCAAGCATCTGCGATGAGTAGTTGCTGAGAAAACTTCGACCAGAATTTGTTACGGACAGACAGACACACAAGGGTAAAACAGTATACCCCCTCTCCTTCGGAGCAGGGGTATAAATATACAACTACTGTTAAACGTAGAACAATAGAAAAACATGCGCTGACTATGTATAAAGTAAGTAAAAAAGTGGGTGTCCTCATTATCGAACGGAGATTCAAAAAATTGTGATGACCCCTGACTTTGAAAACAGATTCGAACTTTGTAAATAACCACTTTTATTAAAGTAAAACATAATTACATAAAGTTGTAGATTGGATGTTGACCATTCTTGTAATGAAAAGAAAAAGATGTGTTTGTGAAACACTGATGCCCCCGTATGGCAGCTTAAGGCGAAGGTTAAAGTTTCTTCAAATGCAAGTCAAAATCCAGGCCAAAAGATAAAAAATGTTGATACCCAAAGAAAGGTCTTGTCTCGAGGAATACACCTGTGAAATTTGAAAGACCTATATACAACTGTTCAAAAGTCATGGCGAAGGTTAAAGTTTTTAAAATAAAAGTCAAACGTCAAGGTCAATGTCAAAGTGGTTGGTATCCAAAGGAAGATCTTGTCACAAGGATTACATATGTGAAGTATGAAAGCCCTAGCACCAACCATTCAAAAGTTATGGCCAAGGTTAAAGTTTTTCAAAAGTAGGTCAAACTCCTAGGTCAAGGTCAAAGGGTCAAAGTGGTTGGTATCCAAAGGAAGGTCTTGTCACAAGGATTACATATTTGAAGTATGAAAGCCCTAGCATCAACCATTCAAAAGTTATGGCCAAGGTTAAAGTTTTTCAAAAGTAGGTCAAACTCCTAGGTCAAGGTCAAAGGGTCAAAGTGGTGGTTGATATCCAGAGGAAGGTCTTGTCACAAGGAATACACATGTGAAGTTTGAAACCCTAAGCACCAACTGTTCAAAAGTTATGGCCAAGGTTAAAGTTTTTCAAAAGTAGGTCAAACTCCTAGGTCAAGGTCAAAGGGTCAAAGTGGTTGATATCCAGAGGAAGGTCTTGTCACAAGGAATACACATGTGAAGTTTGAAACCCTAAGCACCAACTGTTCAAAAGATATGGCCAAGGTTAAAGTTTTTCAAAAGTAGGTCAAACTCCTAGGTCAAGGTCAAAAGGTCAAAGTTGTTGGTATCCAAAAGAAGGCCTAGTCACAAAGAATACACATGTGAAGTTTGAAACCCTAAGCACCAACTGTTCAGAAGTAATGGCCAAGGTTAAAGTCTCATAAAATTTTGCAAAAGTGGGTCAAACTCCAAGGTCAAGGTCAAAAGGTCAAATATGATGGTACCCAAAGAAAGATCTTGTCACAAGGAATACACATGTGAAATATGAAAGTCATAGCTCCAACCAATCAAAAGTTATGGGCAAGGTTAAATTTGACAACAGAGAGACAGACAAACAGACAAACGGACAAACAGACAAACAGATAAACAGACAAAAAGACAGACAGGACAAAAACAATATACCCCCGGGATCTTTCGATCCGGGGGCATAAAAATGCTTGTTTCAAAAGTTTATTTTGTCGCATCCTTTGCATTTTGTGATACAATTTTATCGTTTCGTGGGATCCTTCAAACCCTTGGGGCTAAGCTGTTTATATTATACTAGAATTACCCCCTGAGCATTTATTTTACTGTGTAGCTGAGCTGTTTATACTTCAGAATTATTACCTCCTGAGCATTGACTTTACTGTGGAGCTGAGCTGTTTTAGAAGCAGACAGTTCTAATGCTTGTTCTGCCAGCATCTGTTGTAGCTCCTTCTGGTGGGACTGACATAGAGCCTCGATCTAAAATCAAGAAGGAGATAATTAGTGAAAAGTAAATTGATTTCATCTTCATATTGAGTCTACAACTTAGGTTGAAAAATCCAAAAATTTTACACAACTAATTTCTGGACAATTTTATATTCAAAGCTACTACAATGGTATGTTTTTCCCTCTTAATAAGAATAAGATAATATTAAAGTGCTACATTTTGTATTCAGACTAAAAAGGTCAGCCTCTTTGTGTAGAGTTACCTTTTCTTCATAATTTTCTCGACTCTTGCGAATATAGGCTTCATGTTCAGCTTGAACTTTGTGCACTTTGAGTCTACTATGTTCTGCTTCAAGCTGTAATTCATCCATCTACAAAATCATGTGACATGTAATAAACTGTTACTAATGTCTCGATAATTGTGACATATGTAAGCAGACATAGACATTGCAGTTTCCTTTATTTTAAGTCAAGTTGTAACATCAATCTTAAAATAAAAATTGGAACAATGCACTGCATAATAAAACAGATCTGAGATGAAAAAAAATCTCAAACACATATTAATAAGATAGACACCGAAATTCCTTTTTCTTGGGAGAAGGTCTTTGAGACCTAAACATTCATATGAAAAAATAATCAGGATCAAGAATTAATTGTCTTTATTTAATTTTACCTTAGCTCTAAGAGCTTCATTTTCATCGGCTAGTCTGCAGATCTCAGCACTATGGCTACAGGGTTCACTTTCAAGCTTTTGAGGATGTGGTTTTTCTATGTCTGTGTTCATATCTTCCTTGTCTCTCTTGCCTTTTTTATCTACACGCAAACATTTCAACGTATAAACTTTTAAAAATGCAAAAACTGGAAAGAGTCACAAAAAAATTAAACAGTTTTGAGTATATTTTGCTTCCTACCTATAGATAGACCATTGACTAGTGTATTTTGTTTTTCCTTTCGGAGTCTCTCTAGAGACTTGTGTAGAACCTGAAGATCATGGTTCTTGCTGTTCAGTTCTAATTGTAGAAGCTGAAGTTTGCTGCTCAGTTCTATCTCCTTCTCCTTTGAAGCCTGAATCTCACTTTTTGGAACTGGAGAAAAATATTGATACCTAATTTAAAATTTCGTCTTCTTGGGCCTGATATAAGAGTTAAACAAAGTGTGTAAAGGAAGTTTTCTTCATGAAACAAAGCATATGGTCCAAAGATATTTTTTTTTTCAAAAATCATGTAAAATAAAAGTTTTTAAAAATAGGTTCACTACAAATTTATTGGCCAATCAAGAAGTAAAGACAAATGAACAGAAAATATGTAGTTAAATTCACTTGAAAATTGAGAAACCTAACTTCAGTATGTAAACACTGTAAACAATATTTTACCTCCCTGGCCTTTCTGTGCCTTCTGTAGCTGTGAGTTAAGTTGAGATACCTGCTCCTCTAGATCTGCAACCTGCTTTTTATACCTGTCCCTGGTAGCATCTAGTTCCTGCTGGAGGGCTACAGCATGAGTGTGAGGATGTTCATAGGACTTAAGGTTCTGATCGTCCGTCCTCTTGTAAGCTGCCAGCTGAGTCTCCAGGTCATGGATTCTATCCTCATACTTCAGCTGTCAAATAAAAAAACATTAATAATATAGAAACCATAAACTAGTTATACATTATATATTTTGGAGAGTCGTATTTCACACATGACATATGGCATGCCACCATACCAATGTATATACATCCTCACAATATCAGCTTGTTCTCAACCACTGTTAAATTTCATTTGGCTTTTCTTGGGCTAGCTTCTCTCAATGAGAAGCACCAATCAAATTAGACAGGTATTGAAAAAGAGAGGAATCAGTTGACACCTCAAATGCACATGTAACTACATGTAGTTGTTTAACATCAGAAAGGCTTAATGTGATCGGTGAATAGGTGAGAAAAACGTTTGTAATTTTCCCAAAAGACGTCACTGCAGTCAGCTTATGAATGAAGTTGGGGGTCCAACAACAACAAGTTCACACAGAACCCCTGATATTGTGAAGATGACCATATAATGCTAAGCGAAAATACAAGTTGCACATCTACATAAAGGTCCTGACCTTAATATTGTTGTACTTTTGCTCCACCGCCCTCAACATCTTCTCCTCCTCTTTATCTCTACTCTCCAGTTCCTGTTCTAGTTTCCGGACACGCCCCTCCAGCACTGTTACTATGGGGGACTCTTTCTGATCTTCTGGGATCACTGCAGCTGTCATCATTAAGGAGGGCAGAGAGTTAGGATGTCGTCTCTTCATTATCTGTTCCATCTCCTTGACCTACATATTTAAGAAAGCTAATTTAGATTTACAATTTTCTTAATTAATGATGAACATCTTTCAAAATATTACATTTGATATCTAAGCAGATTGTGAATTTTAGATCTTGAAATAAAAAAAAGTCAAATTATTCTGTTTTCTGACAAAGGAATAATTCATATGTAAAATTAGAGTTCTTATTGCAAATGTCAGTATTTATCCTTTTACAATTTTGATCCCGATTTGTGCATCCAACTAAAGTTTCTGACCCCAAACCTAGTTTCTGAAGCAGTACTGTGAATGAAGTTGAATCTACATCACACAGGAATTCTTTCAACCTTGCATATCAGCTAAAAGATGTAACATTTGCTCTCCTACTTTCTTCAAGAATTAATTTTCTTTATATTTTTCAATATAAAAAATGTCATCTTCTGTGACCCTCTTCTTCAAATTTTAAAGGTTGGTAGACAGACATAGAAATATTCAATTAAAAGCTTCTTGTGAAGAATATAGGATTATAATTTTATCTCTTAGGTTCTTTTTCGTGGTTAAACATGGCTTCAGATGGCAATCTGAAAAAAATCTCAATCTTCATGTTCCAAACATGGAAATCATTTATAAATGTGACTTATATACCCCTACTTTTATAATTTTAAAAGGTCTACACAAAACTCAAACCATTTACTCTGACCATACCCTTTCCCTAGGGTCATGATTTAAAAAAATTCAGATCTAAAGTGAGTGAATATCATGTTTCTATAATTTTAATATGACTTATTGTGGACCTATTGCTTTACAAAAAGCAATTTAAGAAGGCCCTCTTTTTCAAATTTTATACTATGATATACAGATGCAGGAAAACTCAATTAAATGCTTCCCTTAAGAATGAATAATTACTAGTCATTCAATATTAACTGAGCTTCTCTACGCTTCTTATTGTTATCAAACCTGGCTTCAGATTGTAAAATCTGAGAAAAATCTCAGTCTATATGTACCTAACACAAAAATGTTTGACATGTATTAGTGTGATAACATTGCCCTATTGTTAAGACAAAACATAAACCCTTTACTGGGACCCTACCATTTGATGATTTTAGTAAATTCAAATTTACACCAGTTTAAGTTAATATACGTATTTCTATAATTGTATGACCCTTTAGGACCTACTGCTTTACAAAAAGCAATTTAAAGAGAATGTATGAATTCTACATATATTCATTAAAAAACAAGATGTGTTTGTGAAACACTGATGCCCTCGTATGGCAACTTATAGCGAAGGTTAAACTTTCTCATATGCAAATCAAATAGGCTGGTACCCAAAGTAAGGTCTTGTACTGAGGAATATACCCGTAAAAATGTGAAAGCCCTAGCAGCAACCATTGAAAAGATATGGAAATGTTAGTTTTTCAAAAGTAAGACAAATATCAAGGTCAAGGTCAAATGGTCAAAATTAATGGAAAGGCCTTCTCACAAGAAATACACACGAAAATATGAAATCCCTAGCACCAACTGTTTAAAAGATATGGCCAAGGTTAAAGTTTTTCAAAAGTAGGTCAAACTCCAAGGTTAAGGTCAATGGTCCACAATTGTTGGTATCTAAAGGAAGGGCTTGTCACAAGGATTACACATGTGAAGAATGAAAGCCAAAGCACCAACTGTTAAAAAGTTGTGGCCAAGGTTAAAGTTTTCTAAAAGTAGGTCAAACTCCAAGGTCAATGTCAAAGGGTCAAAGTTGTTGGTATCCAAAGAACGGTTTTGTCACAAGGATTACACATGTGAAGTATGAAAGCCCTAGTACTAACCGTTCAAAAGATATGGCCAATGTTAAAGTTTTTTTCAAAGTAGGTCAAACTCATAGGTCAAAGGTCAAAGGGTCAAAGTTGTTGGTATCGAAAGAACAGTTTTGTCACAAGGATTACACATGTGAAGTATGAAAGCCCTAGCATTAACCATTCATAAGTTATAGCCAATGTTAAAGTTTTTCAAAGGTAGGTCAAACTCGTAGGTCAAAGGTCAAAGTGTCAAAGTTGTTGGTATCCCTAGGAAGGTCTTGTCACAAGGATTACACATGTGAAGTATGAAAGCCCTAGCATTAACCATACAAAAGTTATATCCAACGTTAAAGTTTTTCAAAGTAGGTCAAACTCGTAGGTCAAAGGTCAAAGGGTCAAAGTTGTTGATATCCATAAGAAGGTCTTGTCACAAGAATTACACAGATGAAGAATGAAAGCCCTAGCATTAACCCTTCAAAAGTTATAGCCAATGTTAAACTTTTTCAAAAGTAGGTCAAACTCGTAGGTCAAAGTTAAAGGGTCAAAGTTATTGGTATCCAAAGGAAGGTCTTGTCACAAGGATTGCATATGTGAAGAATGAAAGCCCTAGCACCAACCGTTCAAAAGTTATGGCCAAGGTTAAAGTTGGGTAAAATTTTGTAAAACTGGGTCAAACTCCAAGGTCAAGGTCAAAAGGTCAAATATGATGGTACCCAAAGAAAGGTCTTGTCACAAGGAATACACATGTGAAATAATATGAAAGCCATAGCTCCAACCAATCAAAAGTTATAAGCAATGTTAAAGTTTTTGCAGATAAACAGACAAACAGATGGATGGACAAGGCAAAAACTATATACCCCCAAATCTTCAATACGGGGGCATAAAAATATTCCCACAATTGCAGAACAACCCTGGTCCATAGGGTTCGTATTTTAGAAAAACTACCTTGAGCATTTTGCTTAGGTGAGCTAAAAAGCATGAAAGTCACCTGTCTTTGAAGATCCTGGATTTTTTTGGCATCCTTGGCTCTCTCGGTACTTCTCATTTTATTTTCTTCCAATCTTTTACCAGTCTGTAAATATAAATGTATTAATCAGAGTTACCTGATGAGTCCATGCCATACTTAATTATGACAGAATCTAATTTAGATGAAATGCATTCGTCCCTTTATACAACGATACTAAATGTCTTGCTAATTCATCAAACAAATCACTGTTAAATATCCTGTGACCCTTTGATTTCATTAAACACTCATAAATTGTTGCCAATTTAAGGTTAACCCATCTTCTTGATGGGTTTTCTTGATTGTTAACCTTGGGTCTAGATCCTGTTTTTTTTTTTTGTTTGTTTTTTGTTTTTTTTGTTTTTTGTTTGTTTGTTTGTTTTTTTTTTTTTTTTTGAGGAAGGGGGGGGGGGGATTTAAGAAGATCAATGTCACCTGGTTCAAAAATCATATAATATTTTGAAAGATCTTATCACAGGTTAAGTACATGTTATATATGAAAGCCTCATCTTCACCAATTCAAAAGTTTTCAATAATGTGACAATTTTGAAAAGTAGGTCAAACATGAAGGTCATTGTAACGGAGTCAAAAGTCATAGTATGTTGAGAAAAGTCTTGTCACAGGTAATAGGCATGTGAAATGTAAAAGCTCCATCTTTTCTCATCAAAAGGAACATAATAATGATCTCAATTTATTTTTCTAGAGGGAATCCATGCTTATGGCTTTGAAAATATAAATGTTACTTCACACATATATATAAGATAATTATAACTAAGTTAACATATTAAGTTGTGCATGCAAACCTTTAAAAAAAAATTAGATTGTCAAGGATGGAAACAGACGTAGTTCTACAGTAGCAAAGTTTCTACATGTATTTCATGTACTAAATGGCTCTGAAGAAAAGGGACCTGGACTTCAGATGAAACCACATCTTACCGCCATTAAGGGTAATATAAAAGTTCCAATTCACTTTGATAAAAAATTTATGCAAAAATTAAATCCAGATATTGCAGGATAATCAATCAAATGGCACTGGTAAATTAAAATTTAATTCTTAGTATCTTTGTGAAACATAAATTTTTAAATGGATCGTGTAGTGTAAATTATTATGAACATTGACCTTTACCTTCAGTCATTTAAATCTATTTTTTTTCTGGAGAGACTGGATTTAAATATAACCCAGGTAAACAACTGACAGCCATGTTGTAAAAACTACCTGTCAATAGTAAGTAAGGGTTTTATTTTCACTTTTCTTTTGATCAGATGCATTTTCTTTAAAATGCCATGAAGTCAAAGTGTTTTACTCCTTTCATATTGTCCGGAGTTTGCATATTTTTTCTTCTTTTTTTTTTTTTGAGATTCTTTAGAATGCTCATACATGTATACTGTAATAGATGTAATCAAGGGCTTTATTTTCCTTTTTCTTTGATGTATATTCTTTCAAATGTTGCTAATTTTTCTTTCATTTTTTATGTTGTCTTGTTTTGAAATTTATTTATGCTTAAAGTTTGGTTTTTTTTTTGCAAATCACATATACATTAATTATTTATTAAATTGTCCACAAGTTCTTATAATATAACTGTAGATGTTTTCAGTTATTATGCCGCAGCCGTTAAATAATCAAATACCCATGTTTATAAATGAATGAAGTGCTAATGATGAATGATTTTCGTTTCCTTTGTAAATGTAATTCATTATATCAGTTCCCTTCATAAAAGATTTTAAAGCTGTGAGGAATGAAAATCACTTTGCTGTAAATGTCAATTCATTATAAACATGTTTTACAGAAGTAATCAGCTCATATTAGATGTATTTATCTTCAAATGACATTATTTATACATAATATTCAATTATTGTTGACAAATGAATAAATTCCTTTTGATTTTTGTAAGAGAAATGTGTGTGTGTGTGTGGGAGTGTGGGGGGGGGGGGGGAGGGAGGTTCCTCCAACTTACACCTCCAGTGTATGAGTGGTCATGTTTCTGGGGATTTTCCAGTACTAGGAGTTCTTTACTTAAATTCTATCATAGAACACAATCTTATTTCACTTGATCTTAGATGCAAATACATGTAGTTTTGTAGTTTTCTCTGAATAGTAAAATTCACTGATTGATTTTTTTTCCTAGGTAAACAGTTTCCTTAACTTTCCCAATGGACCCTCGTTACAGCGCCCAAGATGTCCTGCGCTGTGACCTGTGTGAGACACCTGTTCCTCCAATGTACTGTGACTTTTGTCATGTCAAACTCTGTAAAGCCTGTGTAGGGGAGCATCTCTCTGATTTATCTAAAGAACATAAAGTGGTGCCATACAAACAAAAGGGAACTACACCTAAATATCCAAGATGTCAGACCCATGTTGGAAAACTGTGTGAACTTCACTGTAAGGAATGTGACCTTCCTGTTTGTTCACTCTGTCTTAAACATCCAGTTTTCATAAAGGACATAATTTATTGAATTTACTGGACGTAATTAAATCCAAGCAAGAGGCTATAGAAGAAGATGCTGACGAACTGTTAAATTCAATATGTCCTAAATATGAAGAAATTTCAGCAGAAATACAAAGAGAAAAAACAGGCCTGGAAAAACATTATGAGAAACTGACAACAGCTGTCACCAAACTAGGAGAAGACTGGCACAGAGAAATTAACATCATTGTCAACAAACAAAAATCTGAAATTGATGAGATGAAAACTAAACACCTGGCTGCTCTAAATAAACAGGAAAAAGATATTAAACAGATTACTTCTGATGTTAAACAGAGCATGCTTGATCTGAAGAGAATGCTGGACTCCAATGATGTCTCCCTAACCTCTGCATACAAATCCAGGAATGCTGAATTCAGAAGTTTACCTCCTAAAGTAAATGTTTCGTTACCAAGTTTCTCTCCTCATCAGATCAACACAGAACAGCTCCATCAAATGTTTGGTTCTCTGTCAGCATTATCCATTACAACAGACGAACATGGCTACACAATGAAGACACCAGAAGCTGTATTCTGTCCTCCAGTCAAACCACTCCTTGATGAACCAGAGCTCATCACCACCATAGACACTGGGTATAAATATCTATACAGTGTTGCCTGTCTCAGTGATGAAGAAATATGGACACGTGGAGATGACAAAATCATGAAACTCTACAACCTCCATGGCAAACTACTGAAGTCAATCCAAACCAAGTCAGGGAAGATACCATGTGACATAGCAATGACAAGGAGTGGAGATCTAGTTTATACTGACCCTGATACAAAAACTGTAAACATAGTGAAAAATGAACAGATACAGGAAGTGATCAGACTACAGGGATGGAGACCTTATGGTGTCTGTAGTACCTCCTCTGGTGACCTCCTGGTTATCATGGACAGTGATGATTATAAAAAATCAAAAGTTGTCCGTTACTCTGGCTGTACAGAAAAACAAACCATTCAGTTTGATAGTGAAGGTAAACCTCTGTATTCATCTGGTTACATCAATAAATACATCAGTGAGAACGGGAATCTGGATATCTGTGTAGCTGACTGTGGAGCCAGTTCAGTGGTGGTGGTTAATCAGGCAGGTAAACTCAGATTTAGATACACTGGTCATCCCTCTACTAACAAGGGATCATTTCATCCAGTCGGCATCACAACAGACAGCCAGAGTCAGATCCTGACAGCAGACAGTAACAACCACTGTATCCACATCCTAGATCAGGACGGACAGTTCCTCCGTTACATTGATAACTGTGATCTATACCTTCCATGGGGTTTATGTGTAGACACTAGAGACAACCTCTTTGTGGCTGAGTGTTACAGTTGTAAAGTGAAGAAAATCAAATACATGTAAATAATGGTTTTAACCATGTGTTTTGGTTTGAAAAAAAAAAATAATCAGGACAAGTAAACAATGCCTATAGCTACGAGATGTGTTTGTGGAGATGATTTGATCCTGATAAAAAAAGAAACTTACAATAACTTGAAGTGTGCTTCATTTACTATCAATTATTTGACCAAAAAGACTTTCTTACAAATCGGATTATGCAAAACAAAAGATGAGTATATTTAAGGAATGTTTTTAAGTTTTGTGTGAGTTATTGGCGCTTCATGAATAATATGCCTACATGCAAGTCTGTGTGATTTGCACATCAATAATTCACACTTAACTGAAAAACATTCCTTATATTTACATTTTACATGTTTAAATGCATCAAAAATATACTCAAAGTTTGAATTTCTCACTGCCCTATATCGTCATATTTTTATTAACGTCTCCGTAGCCTCATTGTGATGTCACTTTAGTGTGAGTTTCTCCATGTATATTTCTACGTGTGAGTATACACAAAAATGGCTCTCAAACCAATTTTATAGGTGCCTTAGTAGAAGAACACAGCAAATGTAAATATTTATAAATTAGGATGTCTCATATGATAAATCATCTATTGGCATATCCTACATCAAATAAAGTTAAAACAAAATTAATATTAATTTTAACATTTTTTCAGTGATTTTTAATTAATTCTTAGTTGACAATCAAAAAAAAATGTTTGTTTAATGTTCTTTAAACCCCCGTTTTCACAGTTGGAAGATTAGTAGTTTTTTTAATTACCTTATACATTGATATACTTAGAAATTAAATTATGTTTTCTTTACAGGTTTATATACAGGACAGCTGGACAGATTTAAAATTCATTGCTTTAAAAAAGTTCAATCTAAATACATTTTTGAGAAATGATAAAACCTAAACTTTAAAAATGATGGAAATCTACAGGGTGTTTCAGCAAACATGTCCTGGCTTTGCAGTTTCAATATAAAGTTTGACAGTATCAATGTAAGAAATTTTTTGCAAAAATGAAAACCACATACCCAAACAATTTTATCAATACAGAAGTTGAAGTAATGCTGAGTCAATTATTTTTTCAGACAGGCATTTTTAAAGTTTGAACTTCAGCAGCAGTTTTCATTTTAACGACATTTTTTATGTGCTCGAAAAAGCCGCAATGTTTTTAAGTCAGCTTCCCCATTTTGTGACTGAAGTCCTATATGGAATATATTTTGACATCATTTGAAAAGTTTGTTTCCTAGAAAGATGGTTTTCATATGAGTACTCCTTTTTTCTTTTTAAATCTTATGCACTAGACTTGGTGATTTGGGAGATTTTCTGTTTGTGTTGATTAGTTCAAACATCCATAGAACCATTTTTGGAGGAAAAAACCTGACAACCTGATTTTTTAAAGATGTAATCAAAACTTCAATGGAAAAAATATAATGAAATTATTTTATATTGTTTATATCACAATCGTATTGCCAGAAAATGTGCTATAAAATAGTTATAATTGTGTAAATATTTTATTATTGTGCAAAAATAAAGACATCAAAAGTCGGGACAAGTTTGTTGAAACACCCTGTATTTTTCCCAGCAAATAAAAAATAAAATAAAATTTAAAATACTGGGGGGAAAAAAGGGTAGGAGTACATCAAACAAATCATTTTTAGCCGGGCTCATTGCTCGTACAGCAATAGCCGGCTTTTGTTACAGTGTTCAACCGGAAATGCTGCTTCCTCACCGCCAAATTTGCGAGTAAGAATATAGTACGTATGCTCAATCAACTTTGAGACAATACAATCACTAAATTAAACAAAGTAATATGACATTCTCCAAAAAAAAAAAAATATGGTAACTATACTTTCTCCCCTCTTCTCTGATTAATTATTAATTTAATATATGCGAAGGGTTTTTATCATGTCCCCCTGTCTGCATCACATTCTATAAATAATTGAAGGTTTTGTTACCAGGCAAACACTAATGTGGGGAGCATGAGACCTGATGTACACTTTGATGCAAAACTTCCCGCTGAGGACCCATCTGTGCATAAATGTTTGACCTTAATATTGCTGCATCAATGTTTATTTACTTCTGTAAGAAGTATATAAGACCCCGAAACGATACATGTGATAAATTGTTTACGCTGTTAAATTCTAACTACAATTTATTTAGTTTTTTAAACATTTTTTTAATTTATACTATTTGTTACAGAGAGATATTTTTGTGATTTTGTTTTTCTCTGTGGAGTGTGGTATCGTAGTGACATTTATTTTGAGCACAATACAACGTCCGGCAGTACATAGCAAACTCAAATGAAAGAAATATTGTAAATTTGTTAGTTGTTAGTTTTCATGGGCTGTGTGAATTGCAGTGAATACTGTAAATATAACTATAATCAATGATGCCATGGCTATTTGGCAATGATTTAGTAGTTTGTACGAAATTTTCAGTAGGTGCTGGCATAGGTGCTAGGTGGAGTGTAACTGTGTGCTGGTATAGGTGCTAGGTGGAGTGTAACTGTGTGCTGGCATAGGTGCTAGGTGGAGTGTAACTGTGTGCTGGCATAGGTGCTAGGTGGAGTGTAACTGTGTGCTGGTATAGGTGCTAGGTGGAGTGTAACTGTGTGCTGACATAGGTGCTAGGTGGAGTGTAACTGTGTGCTGACATAGGTGCTAGGTGGAGTGTAACTGTGAGTGAAAATTACTCAGATGTAAAGAAAACAAACAACTAAAAATAAATCTGGATAACCGAATCATTTCATTTCTATAAAATAATTGATTCTGATTGGATAAAAAATTCTTTTGATAACTGCATCAATAGAATTTGGAGTTCGCTTGCACTTAACAGCCGGAACTACTTTGGCTGTCTTTACATGTATATTTCCCGCTTCCAGAAGTTCATGAAGGAACAATTAAATACTTTTTCTCTATAATAGATATTTTCCTGAATTTCGAAACTTGTCCGTTACGTTCCTGACTTATTTTCTACTTTCGTTTCTTTTTGAATTATCCCCCTTTGCTAAACAAATCGGATCGTCTGCATGACAACAATACAGTAATGGGAAAGAAGGAAAGAAATCAGCATACTTATGTTAAATGTTTGTCTTTGAGATAACTGGTATGAACAATAGAACTGTGAAGAAATGTTTTTATGCTGTCAAAGCGGGGAGATGCCGTTAATCTGTTATTTCTTAGGAATAGAATGATCGAGAAAAACGACACTGCATGAATGAGGACGGAATTCTTTCAGTGTTAAACAGTAGGCAACAGACTCTCAGATTTTACAGCATGGACAGGTTGCGATACATATTTATATGTTCAGTTTGAAATTCAGATGAAGAGATGTGCAAATGAAATCCAAAATTTCTGTGACCTATAGAAAAAGTTGTTAGGATATCTGAGTAGCATCCCTTTAAATACGAACCTAGATAGCTTACCGGGGAAAATATACCCATTGGGATATAGCAAAAAATTAATAACACAACAGGTAAGTTTTTTGTGTTAAAGAACTGTTAATTATTGTTAGAAAAGGTTGGTAGTGACACGGCAATATTTGATCGAGAACGTTGTTTCTTCTTTAGGCCTATAGCCATTTTGAATTTCAGCAACATTGTTGTGATATATTCCTACACACTGTTTTTGATGCGTAAATTTAATAGTAAACTGAAGGAAAATTTCATATAATTATTTTAAAATCATAATTAAATGATAAGAAATGAAAGTAATATTTTTTTCTTTGACCAACGTATCAAAGAAAAAATTTGGACAGAAAACGTTTTCATCAATGCGCTACGCGCATTGATGACGTTTTCCGGCCAATTTTTTCTTTGATACGTCGGTCAAAGAAAAAAATATTACATTCATTTCTTAATTAGTCGACTTAATTCAATCGGTCTTTGTTCACTGTTCACTACTATGTAAGTGAGCCCGGCTCTCTGTACTTCTGAGTACTTTGATTTATTGTTGACCTAATAAATAGTGAGGGAAAAATCCCAAATTACCTTTCATATACATACAGAATATATATATATATATATATATATATATATATATATATATATATATATATATATATATATATATATATATATATAAATTTATTCTATTATGCTTCTTCCACCAATAGCCAAGTGTGTGTTGGGGGGGGGGGGGGGGGGCAGGATAAATTTGGTACATAGTTTAGTCTACTCACCTCAGACTGAAGTTCCTGTATCCTGGACTTTAGTTTGATAATTTCCTCTTCTTTAGCTTTAAGTTTCTTGGTGTCCTGGTCCAACATTTTCTGGTTTTCAGCATACCACTTTAACTTCCTGTTAAGTCTGTCTATCTCCTCTTTATATCTGTCTTCTAACCTCTACAGTAAAGTAAGGAATGCATGTAATTTATAACCAGGCTAAAAGAAATGTGTTTCCGGTTACCCATCCATCCCCATTTTTTTACAGCAAAATTCCCAACCCTACACTTTTTTCGGGGAAAATTACGAGTTTCCATAAATGTCTATTTTTTGACAAAATTGTTTTCAAATTATTTTGAGAGGAAAATGTACTGAATTTTTTTCTGGTAAAGCTGTTTTCACAGCAGCAATCCTGAAAATATCAGCAAGAATCAACATGGAATTGTATCAAATTAGTGATGCAACTTACATCTAATAAATGATCACCAATGTTTTGGGAAATTAATTATAAAATTATTGTCATGCTATTTAAGACACCTATATGCTATATTTCAGATCTTGAAAACAATTACAGATATTACGAAATTGTCAATAAACTTGCTGTTTATACATGCATCACAGAAGTAAATACATATGGGTCAGACTAATATCAGTAAAAGATAAGAAGGCAGAGATATTATAACGTTCTTATTTCATTTACATAAAATTTTGTTTGTTTGCTGATATTCTACAATATTTTAAGGGAAATAACTCAAGTAAAACAAGAAGTCTGAGAGCAAATGCTCACTAGTAATACCCCAGCTTTGATGTGAATGTACACAAGTTCAGTAGGATGAACAAGAATTTGACATCAGATTTGTACAAAAATGAATCCCACCATTTGGCATGTCTCAACAAAGTATGTGCTAAAATTTCAAGCATCTGTGATAAGTTCTTGCTAAGAAAACTGTGACAAAAATGTTGTTACAGACAGACAGACACACAAGGGTAAAACAGTATACCCCCCTCTCCTTTGGAGCGGGGTATAATTACTGTAAAATTAAAGCTTGAATATTGCCAAAATATCACAATTCATAATATTTTGTATTCTGTATATATCTACAGATTTTCTTCATATTGTTGTCTTTATCTGATATTATTTACATTTCAAATTTCTTTGTTCGAGATAAAACTACAAATGATAAAGGACTTGATTTCTTCATAAAACTATTGGTTCATCAAAAAAGTTCATGTGCAGGGTGGGAGTGTGAGACTTAGAGAGCAAGAGAGAAGTGGGTGGGGCTTGGATCGAGCAAGTGAATTTACGAAATCATGTAAATATAAGGAATATCTGTCAATTTTTTTGTTTTATAATGATGATCAAGAAATTGGCTTGCGAGAAAATTTTATGCATAAACGCCTTCAGCATTATTTTATGCAAATTACAGCGCAAGTCAACTGCTTGATCACATCATAAAATTAAAAAAAACTAGATGGTTATTCCTTAAAACACCATCATAAATGTAATCAAGGGAAGATAACTGTAGCTTACTCTGACATCCTCTGGATATGAAGCCTTTTCTAATTTTTCTTGTAAGAGTTCTCTTTCCTTGATCAGTTTATCCATCTGTTTGTCTAACTCTGTTTTTGTTCTCTGTGAGATCTCAAGTTCACGTTTCATGGCTGCTTCTCTTCTCTGTTTAAATTGATTGAAGACAGCTTCAAATTTGTACATTTTTTCTTTTTCAAAATTTATTGAAGACAACTTTAAAATGTTACATTTTCATAACACAGGAAGACATCTTAAAAAATATAAATCTTTTCATTTTTAACACTTATCACTTGATTTTTGACCAATGACATCAGAAGTAGACAAACCTTGTACTCCCTTAATTCTGCCTCTAACTCTGCTATCTGCCCCACCCCCAGGGCTGTGTTTATATCAGGGGCTGCTTTGTCTGGCTTTATGGCTCTGGTTTTTGTCAGAGAAACATCTCCAACTTCACCAGTCTTTTCCCTGTTAATATAGATCTTATATTTATATTGTTTATTCTTTATAGGACCCTCTATGCATTTATTTTAAAAAATCATATAGAAAAAAAGATATAATTGTAAACAAACTTTTTCATATGGTCATAATTCCGCAGAACCACAATTTCTGATTAATCCGAAGGTAGAAAATTGTACGGATTTCTAAGATTACCACTATTATTTTTTAAGTTTATTTATGCCTTTCACCTTAGATTTGCAAGTTCAGTTTGCAGTCTCTGGTTTTCATCAAACATCCTCTCTTCTGTGACCTTGGCCTGTTTTTGTAAGACCTTGACCTGGTCATACAATCGCTGGTTTTCCTGCTGGTACCCCGCTATCAGATTCTCCTGTTCTTGTAAGTCCTTCTTCAGACGTTCCAGTTGTTCTGTGCTGATTTCACCAGCTCCACCATTCATCACCTGTTTCTTTAACTCATCTTTGTCCCCTGGTATCTGTAAAAAAAAATCATAGTGAAACATTCTAAGTAAAAGTTCATAGACCTTAGAGTGTATACATTTCTAGATTTGTAAACTGTTGTAGTTTGAACCAATAACTGGTGCAGTATAAACCAATACTTGGTACCGTAACAGTACTTCATGAAAATCTAAAATGTCATCATTTAGCTAATCTCTGTTTCATTCAAATTGCCATGATTGCTATTTCCATGTCGTTCAGGTGTAAACAACTTGCATCCATCCCTTTCTCCATTAAAGACTTTAATACTCTTAAAACATTTATTATGTTGGTGGCAAACAGTACCTCCATAATCAACAGACTTGAAACAACATGAACATAAAAACTTTACTGTACAATAACAAGGAGATAGGACACAAAGCACAGAAATAGGTTTTATTTTTAATTTTACTCCCGTCACAAACCTTGGCAGACAGGACGTAGTTCTCTTGTTTGAGTCTGTGGATTTCCTCTTCATATTTCAGTTTCTGTTTCTCAATCTCTCTCTCATGATGTTTCACTGAATTCTCAAGGTCTTCTGCAAAATCACAGAAAATATTCTATGCTGTTGTATGTTTGTGCATTTTAACTTTAGAAATGGGGCAAATATTGTATAAAGCAAATTTATATTTAAAAAAAAAGAAAAAAAAATTAAGCAAGTGTATAGTTAACCATATGTATCATTATTCACAATTTCACTTTTTTTAAGTCTTTGAAAACCTTTGAGTTTTTGATTAGCAGTTCTTTCTGACAGCACCAGGATTTGGAGTTCTTCCAAGTCATTAGGTAAACCCTCCACAGATTTATCTCCCTTCCAGCTGGCTGCCAAAGATGGTTCATCTTCTGAGTATTTGGCCTACAACAGAAAAAAAATCAAAAGCCTGAAAGGCTTCAATGACGTCGAACAAGAAAAATAATTTCAAAAGAATCTTAAGATAGCAATAGGTTGAGTGAGTGACTCAAGTGACATACTAATAATAATAAAAAAAAATAGTTTTAAACAAAATGTCACAATTACAGTCTGGGGCCTCATGTCATGGTCCGAATGGAGCAGGGTTCGAATTGACCAGACACCGTCGGACATGTTTATGATAAATATCAAACTAATATCTTTTCAGTCAATTGAAGAATTATGAAGGACTTCATGAATTTATATATTATTCTTTCTAATTGCCAATGTCAAAGCGTTGTTTTAGTGATTGCATCTAAACTACAACCATGACTCTGCTCTGTTACAAGTACGATCGAGTTACGATAGACTGGTATTGCCTGTCTAAATCGTTCGTATATCGCGCATATCAGACAGGCAAGCCAGTCTAGAGTTACGACAGGGCGTGGTATATTGGAGGAAATGGAGAAATACAGTAATACTGGTCAACATCATCGGTTTTTAGGATAAAGTTGGTCAGAAGATTGTAAAAGTAACGCTAAGATTTAGAAATTCAATCTTTTCAGTCTTATAGTATTCGTGTTTATGTAATTTTGTAATTATTTTACCGCCTGTTGGGTTGTTTGTGTTCCACGGTTATCGTTCCAAAATGTTATTCATGTCATTCGACGCACCTTTCTGTAGAAATTCATCCGCAACAACCATCACGTTTTTATTGTGTGAAAATAATACATAATATCGTTTTTTTGTTAAAGAATTAATTGTAGATACAATTGATGCAATTTTATTTTCAAGCTATAATTATTCATTGTGAGCGTTTTAAAAAGAAATTGGTTTATAGCTATTGCTATTTTTTATTGCGGATGCATCCACTGACACATTCGGTCGCGTACATCCCTTGGCGATTTCACTTGGCCGATCGCTAGATGACGTTCGAGCTCCAAGAGCTCGACGTCATAAAAACTTTAAATGTTGAAAACTCTAAACAACAACAAAAGCAAATAGTATTTATAGCTTAAAACACCTTGAGAACCTCTAAAAATACATGTAACATGAAAAAGTAATATCTGACAACTTTGCAGCGAGAAATATTATTCACATATTTTTAGTTTACCTTGGGCATTTTTTTAGTTGGAGTGAAGTGGTCCGCTACATAAGCAGCGAATGACTCGATTGAGACCCTGAGCTGAGAATCCAGACCTGTTTTATGTCCCTGACTTTGTTTTGGAGATTCAGAACCTAAAAAATCAAATGACAAATATCAACTCAGAACCTAAATAATCAAAAGACAAATATCAACTCAGAGCCTAAATAATCAAACCAGAAGTCTCTGACGATACTGTAGCTCTACTGGTTGTATTTATAAAGGAAGATAAAAGTAGCACTTGGACTTGAAACTTTGAAACAGCAATAAACAGAATAATGATCCTTGGTTTAGTCTCTTTTGTGGCAAGATTTATTATTATATCAGACTAAAACTGTATGAGGAGTGGCCTTTTAAAACAATTTTACAGAAATTTTGATTTAAGTAACCATGGCAACATAATTCAACAAAATCAAAAAACAATAACACCAATTATGTATCTCTGTAGTCTACTTGTATGCCACATTATACTGAAATCAGACAAAAAGTGGAGGAGGAGTAGTATTTTGAAAGTATTTCAAGAAAATTTCTATTTTTAGTAACCATGGCAACACTGTTCATCGAAATCTGAAACTGGTACAGAGAATTATGTATCTTAGTGTAGTTTACTTGTGTGCTAAGTAATCCTAAAATCAGACCAAAACTGTAGCGGTAGCATTTTGAAGGTATTTCAAGGAAATTTCTATTTTTAGTAACCATGGCAACAATGTTTATCGAAATCAGAAAATCAATATAAAGAATTATGTATCTTATGCCCTGTTCACACGGAGAGTTTAATTCGCAGTAAATTAATTCGAAGTAAACTAATGCGAATTAAACTAATGCGAATTAAATTGCGTTCACACGAGAGCTAATGCGAAGTAAACTAATGCGAATTAAAATTATATTTCTACAGTAAGGCTTTTCTGTAAGCCTATTATGACGTCATTTTCAAATCACGTCACATTGTGCAGAGCAGGTACATTTTACATAATGTCATTGTGTCTGTACACATTTTATTGATTAACAAAATTTTCTTTGGTTTTCCACTCAAAAATAGCACAAGTTACTATATCTGACCACCGACAAGTGGTCTTAGACTTAATTCTGCCCTTACGCATGCGTCAAAATTTAATTCAAATTAGCTTCGCTTAGCGTTCACACGGAGCTAATGCGAAGTAATTTAATGCGCAGTAAATTAATTCGAATTAAACTAATTCGCATTAAATTCTCCGTGTGAACGCGTTTCAAATTTAATTCGCAGTAACTTACGTTTAATTCGAATTAAATTCTCCGTGTGAACAGGGCATTAGTGTAGTCTACTTGTTTGCCAAGTTATACTGAAATCAGACCAAAACTGTAGGAGGAGTAGCATTTTGAATTCAAAGTATTTCACAAAAATTTCTATTTTTAGTAACCATGGCAACACCTTTAAATTTTCATTGAAATCAAAAACCGATACACAGAATTATGTGTCTTATTATAGTCTACTTGTGTGCCAAGTTATAGTGAAATCAGATCAAAACTGTAGGAGGAGTAGCATTTTGAAAGTATTTCACAGAAATTTCTATTTTTAGTAACCATGGCAACACCGTTCATCGAAATCAAAAACCGATAAACAGAATTATGCATCTTAGTATAGTCTACTTGTGTGCCAAGTTATATTGAAATCAGATCAAAACTGTAGGAGGAGTAGCATTTTGAAAGTATTTCACAGAAATTTCTATTTTTAGTAACCATTGCAACACCGTTCATTGAAATAAAAAACTGATACACAGAATTATGCAACTTAGTATAGTCTACCTGTGTGCCAAGTTATATTGAAATCAGATCAAAACTGTAGGAGGAGTAGCATTTTGAATGTTTTTCACAGATATTTCTATTTTTAGTAACCATGGCAACACCGTTCATCGAAATCAAAAACCGATATACAGAATTATGCAACTTAGTATAGTCTACTTGTGTGCCAAGTTATATTGAAATCAGATCAAAACTGTAGGAGGAGTAGCATTTTGAATGTTTTTCACAGAAATTTCTATTTTTAGTAACCACGGCAACATCATTCATCGAAATCAAAAACCGATAAGCAGAATTATGTATCTTAGTGTAGTCTACTTGTGTGCCAAGTTATATTGAAATCAGACCAAAACTGTAGGAGGAGTAGCATTTTGAAAAATTGTTTACAGACAGACGGAGAGACAGACAGACGGATGGACGACGGACACCTTACTATTGCATAAGCTCTTCTGGTCTCTGACCAGTAGAGCTAATGAGAAATATCAACTCAGAACCTAAATATTAATCAAATGACAAATATCAACTCAAAACACAGTAGTATAACCCAATACATAATTACTATCACAACTTTGGAGGAAAACTTATAAAATGTGGTCATAGTTAAAAAACAAATTAAATTAAAAATTTTATCACTATTGTGTACAATATCTGAAACAGTTTAAACACATATTGCTTAAATATGTACACAAGATTGGAAAAAAATGAATAAAAAATTACAAGATTGAAAAAAAATGAATAAAAAATTTATTAAAGAATAAAATCATAATTATCTTAATAAACTATTGCTTTAAATCAGAATGCTCATAATCTACATGATTGTGTCACATTATTGACTGTTGAGGATGCGAAGATTCTTAAACAAGGATTAAATGTTTGGGCCTTAAACCTCCCAAATGAGATTTTCTTTTACTGTATATTCACAATTACTTACCTATGATCTTCTGTCTCGAGATGTCTGCTGGGGACCAGGTTTGTCCCTTCTTTCTCCCCCCTACCCCAGGTTTCCTCTCCTTCTTAGTTATCCTCTCTTGAGCCCCATCTTTCCCCCCCTGTTGAGCCCCTCTGTGGTCCTCTGCTCTCAGGGTTCCCCTCTCCTTGGCACTGGATGATCTCTCTCTACTAGGGGTTCTTCCTGGGGATTGCTGACCATAACCAGAACTTTTTATATGGCTGTATTTGTTCTTCAAAGTTGAACCTGGATGTGAAAAAGAAGGCAAGATTTCAACTGTTACTCCTGTTAAAATTTTGCACACAAATATTGTGTCCATATTTGTAACAATATTTCTGAATCAATGTTTTACTAAAAAACAATCAAGTTTTCAAACCTTCCTTCTGTTCAAAAGACTTACTTGTCTAAATGAAATATCATGCCGACAAAGTTGTAAAACTTTGTAAAACTTTAATTTTGTTCGAGTACTGTAACTTGATTGAGCAGAGAAACACTAGCATATGAACATGATGAATGTAGGTGACTTATGGTTTCAAGTATGACAAGCAATAAAATTTATAACACTCCAAGGACACACCTTATGAATGTCATTATATGTGTAACAGGAAAGGAGAAGATGAATGGCTGGACCAGGTATCAAACCCATGACCCTTCCATCGCTAGTCAGGTGCTCTACCAACTGAGCTATCCAGGCTCATATCAAAAACCAAAACCATTACACATGTACTGTTAATCAATTGTCGACTTACCTGGTATTACAAACTTTATGCAATTTTTCAATAATCAAAATTAACCTTCTAACATGTCTAACCAAGCTTCAAAAATAAAATCCCCAATAATAAAATTGCTGTTAACAACTTAGATCACAATTTTTTTTCCTAATACGGACCTTGTAACACAAAATTTAATTGGTTTGTAAGTCAGGTGTAAAATTTTCTAACACAAGACTTGAGCTGGGGGTAGATAATGTGACCTCACAATGCATTATTTACTGTAAGATATTTTCAGATACACCATCATGTTGATCATAACTCCTTTAAAAAAAAAATTAATTACCTGGCTTGGTCGGAGATAATGACCTTGACCTCTCATCCAGCTTGGCAGTGTTTGACCTTGGTGACATCCATCTCCTTGGTGATGACCTTGGAGACAGACTGTGACCTGGGGATGTAGGAGATGATTTCTTTGACTTTTTCTTCTCTTTAGAATCCTTCTTTTTTGATCTCCCTCTCTCTGAGATTGACTGGAAATAAAATCATACTTACTGATAAAAACTTGTTAAATTTTAATTGACATTCAATCTAAACTGGAGATTGTTTCCCTTATTTTTATATACTAATAAAAGCTATCCAAAATACGATGTTATTATGAATAGTACACATTAGAGAGTTTAATTTCAACAATGCTGGGGGTTCAATAATTTATGAAAGTTTAGACAATTGTTTCAAAACAAATTTTTATAAATACTTGCATGTACAGTGTATAAATATCTTTATTAAACAGATCTTTGTAAAACCGCAGAATTTCAGAGATGGCATATGTCCCACATTTTAGGATTTACACATAAAAATAGCCCCTTCCCATGATGATAAAAGATAACAATAACTCCCCTTCATTGCAGCATGTTAATAGTATACATATCTTCCTAATTCAGCATTTTTATTTAACTCTGTAATAAGGTTGGTCTGATTTCTATCTACCACATAATGACACTTATAGTCTAGCATATCCATGCAAAAATGGGTGAATATTTCAACAAAACATTCAAAAATCCTGTTACCTGATAGATTGAACACATGCAAAACCAAATATGTGAGCAAACCAAAGTTAGCTATACACACAGCGCTGGTGAAGACTGATACACTTATTCATTGTTACATCCAAGTTTAAAATGTCACACAAATTTTATCCCACAACACACAACTCACCTTGGCTTTTGAACCCTTAAGATGAAAGAATTTTTCTTAAGTTTAGCTTAACTTTTGCCATACTTAATAAATCTACAAACTCAAAAATTATTCTGGAACTCCATAAAATTCTTATTTTTTTCCCTTTCATTCCATATCACCAATTTGTTACAGATTGCAAGTTAGCTATCTTTTATAAAGTAAATAAAAATAATATTTGGTACATTAACTTCAATCTGTTTATAGTTTGAGCCTAGTGATTTAGACTTTATTTCTCTATACTGGTGACTAGAGGTGTGAAAAGAAGACAGTAAGTTAACTTTACATTTGTTTATAGTTTTGAGAGCCCAATCACTCTGTACTGGGGACTAGAGGTGTTAAGACTTACTATCTGTGTGACGGGCTGGTACATCTCTGTATCCTCGGTGTGGGACTGATCAAACCCTCGGGGTGAGGAGTGGTCCTGATGTATGGGGGACAGGCCAAACCCCCGGACCTCCTCCATCCTCCTCTCACCTGGATTAAGAAAACAAGTCTCTCAAAAATATTTTAAAAATTTAAATTTTGATTGTATCTAATCATAATGGGCAAAGGGTATAATAACATTTGCCCTTTAACTTCCCTTCCATTTTTTAAGTAGTGATTCAATCCTGTAATGTATGAGACTAGAATAATAAACTGAAAAAAAAAATCATACAGTCAAACCTCATTATCTCAAACTCAATAGGACCTATGAAAAAAGTTTGATGTATCCAAGGATTTGAAATATCAAGGACTTCCAAATCACTTTGACATATCCATGGTATTTGAGATATTAGTGTTTGAGATACCAAAGTTCAACTGTAGTTAAAAAGAGAAGGGTAAATGACAAACTTACTGTCAGCTGGCACTTTTTTCTTGTCAGACAACAACTGAATGTCCTCCTCATCTTGTTTACCTCTGTTACGCTTCTCAATGTTGTCCATTTCCTGGAGGACTTCCTCCACTGTTCTCTGTTTACCTGTCAAAAAATCAAATTGACTCGGATAATTAAATAAGATATGTCCATAAATTCCTATTGTGGACAAGTTGTTAAGTAAACAATAGTTTCTGGAAATATTATAAAATCATTCAAGATTTTGTGTGCAATAGTTCCTGGATTCCTGGATGTGATTATGTATCATTTTACTGGACCAAGAGGTTTTTATATAAATTGAAATTAAAATTCCACTACCTTTCATAAAGATGAATTGAGAATGAGCATTAAACCTGGGCCTCCCAGTTGCAAAGTGAGTCTCCTAACTATTAACATTCACCGTACTTCAAGTAAAATTGTTGATGTGATACAAAGAACTTCAAATGAAAACATCTGTGTGACAAACCTTTCTCAGGCTCAGCAGATAAAATTTTCTGTAACAGTTCAGAGTTGTTGGCCAGTGAAGAGTCCAGGGGTTGACTGTCATTCTTTATGGTAGGAGAGAGCCCCACCTCCCTTAAAGCTTTGTGTAGAGCCTCTATCTCATTACTGGTGTTGGTTCCCATGAAACCTGCAAAAAAGGGAACCAGTTTTAATTACAATAGATACTAGAAATTAGAGAAAGCTCCATAATGATAGAAAAACTTGATTTAAAAAAAATTGTGTGATATGTTATTCTATTGAAAGATTTTCACATAAACACTTGAACCAAATACTCAGTATCTTTCGAATTTGTTTAATCAATAAATATTTACATTTTATTTACAAAACCTCTTATCTATTTGCAAGAACATGAGAATTAAATATGCACACCACATCTGACAGAAAGATTAATGCTTTGTTATTCAATGAAACTTTTATGATTCTGTGTCTTTTGTTTAAATTCTTTATGATTCAAATACATGTATGAATGCTATCAAGACTTGAAATTGTTTGTTAAAGAATAGAAAAATGAATAAATTTATTGAAAATAATAATGCAAGCAAAAATTTGAAAATAATTATGTTTATAAATGCAGTATTATTCAGTTACTTGTGCAAAGATAACTTGCAAAACAGGTGACAATATTTATATCTTGAAGCTTCTTGGGTTACGCAAAAAACAATATGAAAATATAAATGTATATTAAAATGAAAATTCTAACATGATCTCATATTCAAAATATAAATGTACATAAACATGAGTTAAATCTATTAGGATCTTGTATTCAAAGAAAACATACCTAATATACTAAAGGAACTTAACAATATTTATTTAAAATAATCATTGATAAAGAAGTTTTTAAACACTACAAAAGTCAATCTAAGGAATATCATGAATCCAAACAAGGACTTCTATCAATTCTCATTGGATGTAAAAAAAATTTAATACATGGTACTTCTCTTAAATGATCACATGAATTGTAGATTGATCGTCACTTAGTATCATAGAATTAGTAATATGTATAAAATCAGAAAATTAAGACGGAAATTTTTTCATCAATGAAGTTTGATTCATGTGACATTATGATCATGTGACCATATTTTAGTCATGTGACTCTCATGATACATGTATGACTGAAGTATACCTGACATTCGGGCATTGAATTCTCCTGTCAAGCAAAACCAGCAATTTAACACTTTCCTTGCCTACTTCTTTAAAAAGCATGCTTGGCTCTACTTTAATTAATGTCAAATTATTTAATTTATAATTTTGAAAAGCTTAGTTCTATCCATAAAATGCATCAATAAAAAAATAAGCATGACATAACCATCACCAATTTATAACTCTGCACTGTAACACATACATACATGACTGTATAACAAACATACAAATAACTCTAGCCTCAAATAACCATAACCAAGAGTTATTTCCCTTCCCTACACACATCAATCACATTCACCCATTAAACTTTCACATCTAGTGTCACACAAAATATTTATATATTTAGAAATAGTGATATAAACATTATTTGGTTAACTATTAATTCAATCTACCCTATATTTTAATGATAATAAAAAATAAACAAGAGGCCCATGGGCAACATCACTCCCCTGAGTAATTTTGGCCATGCTGTTCTTCAAAGATTCCCCCACTTGTAATACCTATTGTAGCCCCACCCTATCCCCGGGGATCCTGATTTTAACAATTTGGAATCTACACTACCCCAGGATGCTTCCACGTAAGTTTCAAATTTTCTGGCCCAGTGGTTCTTGAGAAGAAGATTTTTAAATATTTTTCCTATATATTTCAATGTAAAACTTGGATTCCCTATTGTGGCCCCACCCTACCCCTGGGGGTCATGATTTTGACAATTTAAAATCTACACTATCCCTGGATGCTTCCACATAAGTTTCAGCTTTTTTGGCCCAGTGGTTCTTGAGAAGAAGATTTTTTAATGACCCCACCCTATTTTTGTCTTTTCTTGATTATCTCCCCTTGTAAGGGGACTTTGCCCTTTATTTTAACAATTTAAACTTCCCTTCACCCAACAATACTTTGTTCCAAGTTTGGTTAAAATTGCCTCAGTGGTTCTTGAGAAGAAGTTGAAAATGTGAAAAGTTTACAGATGGACGGACGGCTAGACGAACGGACGGATGACGAACAACAGGTGATAAGAAAAGCTCACTTGATCTTTCAGCTCAGGTGAGCTAATAAACTACTCTTTTCTATTTAAACTAGATATTGTCTTAATATTGCTAGATTTCCAGTTAAATCAGAAGTTAGCTACTGATATATTTTATCTAGTAAATACATGGATACATTTGTTATATGACTAGTAAGCTACATTTTTTTCTTACTTGACCGTTTCCCTGTTGACAAGTAAATTGTTTTCAATTTAAACCATAAAGAAGCATCTACCAACATAATCAAAACCAATACCAAAATACCCACTGGTTACTGTTCCTGCAGAGCTTAATATTTTTAAAAATTGAATTTTACACATTAGCAAACCATAAAATCTCCCTTGTATCTATTCAATGAAACACATCACTACTTAATTATCAAACACTAGTGAAGGAAAAATTTATTTCTCTTGAATATAAAACCCTATACCTTACCCCACCTTAAAGATCTATCTCTCATTCAAAGGCATAGAAGACAAGAAAACCCCTCAAAACACTCTGCTTAAAGTATTTCTAATTATGACTCAGAAATGCCAGTAGAACACTCTGTCTTACCTGTTCCAGTTTTAAATGACCCCGGTGTAGATTGCTGGACATGAATCTGTCCGTCTACGTCATCCAGCCCCTCAGATTTCCTTGGATCCTGGAGCGTGCCTCCGACTTTTGGAGAACCTGTCGTGTTCATTGTTGAATCCATAGAATCCATTAGAGAAACTGTAAATAAAACAGGTCACATGATCAAAAAGTTAGAGGAGACAGTGTAAATAAAACTAGGTCACATGATCAAAAAGTTAGGAGCATTTTGGCATTGTACTGATTGAGAGTGAATTTTTTTCTCTCTAAAAATAAATGTGTATATACCTTTTGATAACATACTGGGTTTCTGAACAGATGGATCCTGAAAAAAAGAAACAAATATATACATCTCCTAATGATAAGCATTTTTGGAAATTCCTATTCATTTCTTTGTCATTTTGGTATCAAGTTAAACATCTAAAGGTCTTATCACCAGCTATACATTTTGCATAAAATACACAGTTTCATTTGGCATCAGCCAAAAAAATTGCATATATGAGGAGGTACATATCAATATATTTAGTAGTAATTTTAAAGATTTGTCAAATGTTAAAACACTTATGATTAAAATAATAAAGAGTACATGTAATATGTGACTGTTTCAGACTTACATAATCTGTGACTGGTTCAGACTTACATGATCTATCACTGGTTCAGACTTACATAATCTGTGACTGGTTCAGACTTACATAATCTGTGACTGGTTCAGACTTACATGATCTATCACTGGTTCAGACTTACATGATCTATCACTGGTTCAGACTTACATGATCTATGACTGGTTCAGACTTACATGATCTATGACTGGTTCAGACTTACATGATCTATGACTGGTTCAGACTTACATGATCTGTGACTGGTTCAGACTTACATAATCTATGACTGGTTCAGACCTACATGATTTCAGACTTACATGATCTGTGACTGGTTCAGACTTACATAATCTATGACTGGTTCAGACTTACATGATCTGTGATTGGTTCAGACTTACATGATCTGTGACTGGTTCAGACTTACATGATCTGTGACTGGTTCAGACTTCTGAGGAGGATTAAGTGATCCTTCCTCCTCTTGTTCTATGTCCTCTAGTGCAGCCAGTGTGGCAGCAGCTTTAGCAGCGCCCTCTGGTGACATGGTGGTGGCACTCTGGCTGAGGTCTCGGTTCATTCTACTGTAATCCAGAGTCTCTCCTGATGCATTCTTCTCCAAGTCCTGTAAAAGTTTACTTTGCAAATAAACTTTAAAAATAAGTTAGAGGAATTTACCCATATAGCAGGGGAAAAAACTGCCCTATCTTTCAAATATTGCAATTATGTGTGGTGCATTTTAAAACATCTTAAGCTTTGTGCGCTTGCTTGATTCATTTTCAGAATAGATGAAAAAAAAAAGATTGGAACTTCCAAATGACACAGAATATGCTTGATTTATATAACTCTAAGTCACGCTAATTTTTACAGTCATCAGAATGATGATGGATCAAATTTACGACTGTACATGTTTATTAATTAAAAAAGAACAATACTTTTGTCCTTCCTCATCCTTGTTTTAAAATAATTTCTCACAGATTAGCACAAATATTGCATAAAACAAGACTTTAGTTAATACTCAAGGTTTCTTTTAAAAAACTAACAATAAATAAAAAAATAAAAATTTACCAGGGCTTTAAAAAAATTTACCTGAAAGAATTTCTCTTTTTCTGCCATTTCATCCAATGTCTCCATACCAGGCATGGTGTGTTTCCCTGTACGTACAAAGAGAGATAACTCTTATTCTAAAGTTGTGAACATTCTCAGGTTTTAAGCATAAATTATAACCATTAAATGATAATCTCAGCAACGATCTAAAAACTTAAACCATGTAATTATCTTAAATAAAAACAGATATCTTTTATTTGTGAGATATAAATAGAATGTGGAATTACCTGTTCTTCCATTCTGTGAGGGTTCAGCACTGCTCCGAGTTCCACCAAGGCCACGCCTACAAAACACCAGCAGGTAGATTACCTTATGATTATTACTTTCTTTATTTCTAGCTCACAATGTCAATTAGGTATGACTGCATATTCCACAATTAATATATTAATATCCTGATATTAATTTTACTGTGGAAATATATCAAATCCTCAAATTGTCAGTTATCAAGTCAATAGTAATATAGCAGTCATGCAGGCCTTCAATATCTGTCAGTACCCAGTACTTTTACCACCTAAATCATGATTGTAATGACTAAAATATTTAATGGAGAAAATGTTGATAACATATTTTAGCTAACATTAGTTCCACAAGGAACCTCCTATTTTGCAAACTTTCTTTCTACCGGTAATTTTTTTTTTGCAAAAGTTCTTTCTTTTTTTTTTTTTTTGAAAGCCCTAAGTCATAGGATACTGTATTTCAAAATTCTCAACCTACATTCATTACTTATAACACTGTATGATACCGAGAATGATCACTTGTATTCATCATTAGCACTGCAATATTTATCAGATTTGTATTATTAACTAAGGAAATCCTATGATAATAAGATAAAGTTCGTCTGGAAATACTCTCTTACTTTTCGTTTGTTTTTGTGCTTTCCTCCTCGGACTTCTCGGAAACTGATTAAAAAATAGATAAAAAATAAAAAAACATCAGTGGTAAACAATGATGTACAATGTCACTTTTGTCTGTATAAAAGAAAAATTAAAAAAAAACACAGAAAATTCATTTTTAATATTCCTGAAATAGGAAATATTTTCAGTAGTATACATTTATTGACTAGCAACATGCATTTTGTTGGCCCCGAGAACTAAATGTTTGCCTGTGGCCGTTAGGCTGAAGGCAAACAGTTTTGTTTGAGGGGTCGACAAAACACATTTTGCCCTAGAACACAGTCAATAAATGTTTTGTTATATCTTTTCTTTTTTATTTTTGACATATATGCATCTTGTGCTGGCTTTCGATATGTAAATTCCCTTTACCACTCAGGTTAAATATGGTAAATTCCGTAACTGTCAAACACCAACGAATGCAAATGAGATTTAGCTAATCCCACCCATGGTGTGATGCGGTCCAATATCTCATCGACAGGTCCAATATCTCACTCTGCGGTCAAACATCGATTTTTTTATGACCGCTCAGTAAAACATTAGAAATGTTAGACTTTTCAAGTATAGATTTATATAGGAACACATTTTTAAAGGTATAACAATATGCGTTAATGACAAAACATGAAATGAAATACTGCATATTACAGTGCATTAACTGTAAAGTGAAATATTTTATGTTACAGTGTATACACGTAACTGTAAAAAAGATGTAAACTACTTTAAGTTAACACACTGTAAAACTATGAAGTGAATTGCCTACTGTCTTCAAGGGAATCCTTGCTCATTGAGTTGTCTGTTTTCCCTCTAACTGCTTTTGCTTTCATCTGCAAAGAATTCAACAACATGTATCCAACTTCAATATGAGTGTCCCACAATATAAATCAAATTTCCATTTTCATGAAGTCCCAAAAGAACTGAATAAATATATGATTGTTTGTCAGAGCATTTTACTTTCAGTCACGGATGCGTTAACCAAGAAAATATATAAACTTTCATGAAGTGGAATGGAATTTTGTTGCAAAAATAATATTCTTTAAAGCTAAGAAATTCATGAATCCATTACACATACAAGTTAATACAATGTAAGATGTCTACCTCTCTCTTGTTTTTACTTCGTCTCTCTGCAGGACTTGCGATCTTTTTTCCATCATCAGAACTGTCTAAGTCAGGTTTCTTGTCTCGTATGGATGTTGTCTGGTCCTCTCTGATGGGTGTGCTGGTCTCCGGCTCGGGTTTTTTCTTCTTCAGAAAGCTTTTCCCACTAGCTGTGAGACCTATTTATCAAAAATAAATTATGTTTAGCATGTATAATTGAAAAGCTGCATGCATTATATTGACATAATTAGAAAGTAAAAACCTCCATACTTATAAATGTAACATACAATTTGAAGTTGATAGAATATTCTGTGCAACATTTTTTTCTAGCAGAATTACACATTTTTTACCATGATTTAGACATAAAGAATTTCACATCTCATAGTTTAATTAATATCTAATAAACAAAGCTCTAGCAACAATATATCATATTATGATCATTTTCTATGTGAACAAATTCACACCTTCCATCTTAGCCAATATCTTATAAACAAACCTCTTCCAATTTCTTCGTCGTCTTCGTCATCGTCCTGTTCCATCCACCATGGTTTCTCTTTCTTTTTCGGAGGATTCAGATATTTGGCCACTCTTGCAGAATCCATGGACTCTTCAGAGGACATTGACTAAAAATAGTAACATTTTGTATATTTTTACACTGGTCCAACAGCACAGTGCATGAAAATATATACATCTACTAAACAGTTTAATAAAAGAATCTCTGAGTAAAAGTCAATTATCAGATTCATGCTTTGTTTGTGTAACACTTTAAGACTACGTTATTTTGAATTACATTGTACACAGAATTCAACGAGATATATATGTTTAGTTAAAACAGGATTTTTGTCATTAGTGATGTTTTACATTAAGGTAGCTTAAACAGCTTTACAGAAGTAGAAAATTTCCATGTGTAACAACATATCAGCTATCAACAATGATCAAAGATAAGTGTGATATGTATTTTAACAAACTCCAACATAACCAAAATATTACAGAAAATTAAAATACAGATAACTGGAAGATATCAGAATATCTTTGTGCTGTCATTTTAACAGCTCAAAATACACATTATATTTGCTTTCTGTTGTTTTCTCCATTGTAGACATCATTGTTAATTCTCTTTATCCATTGGAAATACCATTATCTTACTATGCTTACTTGATGACATTTATTTTAGCTTATTCTAGGCATGACAATCCTTGATGTACAGGACAGATAACTTTTGTCTAAGGTAGAACTGAGGTTTTCAAAACTCATTGACTATGTAACTATGAAACTATGAATAATAATTAATATACTTAATATTTATAGTAAGCAACTTAAGTCAAAAGCTCTATAAACAAATGTGTGTTTATAAGTACTGTTATCAACGTATTTTACCTCCTTCAAAAATGCCTCAAATTGATCATTGAATTCCTTCTTGGACATCTTTGTTGATCTTCTATGTGCCATTTTGATAAGAACTGAATTTACTTTAAAACCTACAAAAAGTAAAGTGACTTATTATGAAAATCTCGTAAAAAGACGGTACAGCATCAGAAGTTGCCAGATTTAAAATATTTTAATTAATAAAAACAAATGACTGAAATGTTCTATTCAATATACAGAAGCATTATACATGAACAGGTATGTAAATACTATTCAAAATATTCTTAGGAAAAAAATTGCTTTAAAAAGTCAATATAACTGTTAACATGGTTAAATAATATATACTTTAAAAGCATCATAATTCTGAATTTTAAATAAAGAAGAATACCTTAATAAGTGGATAAGAGTTGCTGAATTTAAATTCCCCTGTTCTTCAAAACTTGTCAACACTTGTCAAGCAGACGCGTGATCCATGAAAATTTATGAATCAGTATATTTTTGGTAAAATTTCAGCTAACTCTAACAAACAAACAAACTCCTTTTTTTCAAAAATGAGAAAACAGAATATAGAACTATGTTCGTAATTCATAAATTGGAAATAAATATTTTCCTGAGCAACACATTTTCGAATCAGTCGGCCATGATTGTAAATAAAGCAGAGTTGTGCAGACGCTTGAAAAGGTAGTGCTAATAGCAGGGAAAAAAATAAAACCCGGGAACATATGGAATTCCATATATACAATAGCCAACTACCTTCTGCCAACTGCCAGCTGCTTACTGCCAACTGCTGACTGTCATAGATGATGTTGCCTGTTTTGATATCTTTAAATCTTTAAAACACATGCTTGAACAGCCCCATTGATAGCAAGCATATTACAATCATAACAAAAATTGGCGGATTCAGGAATTTGTAAACGGTGAAGACAAGGAAGAAATAGATAAATACAAAATAAATACAAAATATCTAATTCCCACCATTCCATACGACTAAGATTTTTTTTCCAATTCTTCAATAGGTATCTAAATCACAGTAGGTCACAAAAAATCTTATATTTGCATTATATTACAGTGTATTTGTGAGTTATCTTTCAGAAAATTAAAAAAAAAAAAAAACTTATTTAACAAAGAAATAACATAATTGTCAAATTTTAATCTTTGTTGTTAGAATTTTTTGTGAAAAAAGCCCTGTTGACCTTTTCACAAAAAATGTTAGGACTAAGATTAAAATTTGACAGCTCTGTAATTTTTTTGTTTGATGAAAATATTAATTTTTTCTAAAGAATAATTCACAATATACATGATATATTCTATTGTGATAGAAATATAAGATATTTTGTGACCTTTTACAAATTAAACTTACACACTTTTTGGAGAACTGAAAATTGTTTGTCTTAGTCGTATGAGGTGCCGTTTTGGTATTTACTGCCAAAAAGTGATATCACCTATTCGAATAAGTGATATCACCTATTCGAATAGGTGATATCACCTTTTCGAATAGGTGATATCACTCATTCAAATTGAATAGGTGATATCACCTATTCGAATAGGTGATATCACTTATTCGAATAAGTGATATCACCTATTCAAAAGGAATAAGTGATATCACCTATTAGAATGGGTGATATCACCTATTCGATTTGGTGATATCACCTATTCGAATAAGTGATATCACCTATTCGAATAGGTGATATCACCAATTCAAATCAAATAGGTGATATCACCTATTCGAATAGGTGATATCACTTATTCGAATAGGTGATATCACCTATTCGAATAGGTGATATCACCAATTGAATAGGTGATATCACCTATTCGAATAGGTGATATCACTTTTTGGCAGTAAATACCAAAACGGCGCCTCATATAGTCGTAAGATATTTTGTGAAAAGGTCCACTGGTCAGTGTAATAATGTTGGATTTCTTAAAAATAAAGTTATAGAACTTGTCAGAATAATTAGAAGAATGAGAATATATATATTTTAATTTTTATTTACATTTGTTATTCAACACCTAGATCCACCACTTAGTTCTCCATTACCTGTACATACTTATATATATACCTAAGGGCATTGGTCAGGTGTTTTGAAGTGGACATTATTATTTTGGTTTTCATTGGTCATTGATTTGGAAGGTCGGATTCGATTAATTTTCTTTACTGGGTTAGAGTTTTTCCGGCTTTATTATGACCATTTTTTGTTCAACAGTTTTTCAATGGTTGATCAAGACAGACATATATTTACAAAAAGACATTTACTTTGGACTGAAGATTTGCTTCTCTGGTAAGTTACTCATATTAATTTCATATTTAAAATGTTCGTCCTGTAGTATGTAAAAGTTATTTCCATTTGCACAAAAACAAGGGAGGGGGGGGGATGTTAAATTACTAATATCAACTATTTATAAGACTGTTTCTAAGACTTCAGAAAACCTTAAATCACATTGAAATGCTTAAAATAAAAATTGCTGCATGAAAACATTTCATTTTCAAGTTTCATCTTTGCCGTCGCCAACGTGGCACGGTGATCAGAATGTCTGCTCTAAGAGACGCGGAATAAGGAGTCAATCCTTACGTCACGGATTCGATTCCGACAGTGGGACGTTGAGACCGGTCCTTCGTAAGAGACCGCATAAAGCCATAAACCGAGGTCCCGTGCCACAGTAGGTGTTGGAACGAAAAAAATCCCTCACTGCTCAATGGCCGTAAGTGCCAAGTATAGGACAAAATTTGCAGCTCTCCACTGGCAAATTGTGGCGTCTCCATATGAGTGAAAAATTCTCGAGAGGGACGTTAAACAGCAAACAAACAACCAAATTAAAATCATTTTAGCCTTTTTGAATAAAATGATAAAATTAAGAGTTATCCTTCAAGGCTGAGGATCGGATATCCTTAAACCAAGCAACTTACGCGTGATTAAAGTTTGACACAAGGCTTTGCATTAATAGTCCTATAATTACATGTATATGTGATAATACTTTAATTTATATTTTATCAAATGACATGAAGATAATGAACAAGTATTTCGGATTTTTTATGTTTGACTTCCGGGAGATCAAATCCGATTTTAATGAACCATTGGCGTCGGAAGGAAATTGATAGTGGGGTGGCTAATTGAAATAGAAAAAAAAAAATCAAACCTGAAAAAAAAACTTGACAAGCAAAAAAAAAAAAAAGGAAAATTGTTCTTTCTCCAAACCCTAAAATCCTATTTCGGGGGTGTGGGTGGGTGGGTGGGTGGTGGTGGTGGTGGTGGTGGGGGGGGGTTGAGGGTTTGGGGGTTGGTCGAACATCTTTCAGTACCAAATTCTTTTAATTAAACACTACCAATTACCCTTCTTTCACTACAATGAATCGTGCCTGTAGAAAGTGGGGGGGGGGGGGGCTAGACCTACGCCCGAATTTTCAATGCCTATATTATCTCTACCTTTGTAAAAAAAAAAAGGGGGGGCAATAGCCCTCCCCCCTCCCCCCCCCCCCCGTTCCGACGCCTATGTGAACCGTTTTTTTTTAAACGTGTCATTTCACTCAAAAAATGCCTTTCAAAGAATGAATAATTTTTAACATCAGAATAATTTAAAAGTTTATTAGCTTTCTGTCAAATATGGCAAAAAAAACCAAAAAAAAAAAACCAAACAAACAAACAAACAAACAAACAAACAACAAACAAAACACGTAAAATGTCTACTTGATTGCCTACCCGATTTGCCAACCTCACGGGCGGATTCAGAGAGGGCCTATGGGACCCGCCCCCCCCGCCGCCCCCCCCCCCCTTGTGTCCAAAATATACATAAGATTTAATAAATCAATTGTTTTTTGGTTTGGCTGTGGACTACCTACCCCGACCAAAAACTTGTCGGGCCCCCCTTTTCAAGATTCCCGGATCCACCACTGAACTTGGAAATCAACAATCGCCAAGAAAATCTAAATTACTAAGTATTTTAAAATTAAATGCAATTTTTACAGCGAATACACATTAACCTATAAAAATGAGTCTTAAAATTTCAGGACAGTTGATAAAATCAGGAAGCTGTATAATAGAATCAGAAATTAGAAAAATCTCGAATAGCCCCGGCTTTTAATTTGCCACGGTCCGGGTTTCCTATTTTCAAACACTCTTTAAACTGGAACTCCGCGCATTTTTTTAAATAAAAGGACCAGTTTAGATGATGATAAAGAAGTTACCACTGCATAACATGAAACGACTAATGCATATAAAGATTTGACCACATCATATAACAAATTAACAACATCATATGATTAATATTAACCACCTCATATAAAGATGTTACCACTGCAAGGCATGATTTTAGGAATATATATATAATAATTTTACTATATAATATAATGATGTTAGTACTCATGCACATAATAGATTTTTCACTTCATGTAAAGGTGTCGCACTGAATGAAATTAACTTGGCACTCCACATGCAGCGGGTTTCATACAATGTAATGATTGCTTTATCACACAAATTATGTTTGTACTGTATATATTGAATTCATCACATCACAGAAAGATTTCAGTAATGTATATAATGGAAAAACCACTGCATATAATGATTTTACAACATAATGTATCGATATTATCACTTCATTACATTATTTAACCACTACATATAATGACATTGCCACTGAATATAATGATAAAACCACTGCATATAATAACGTTATCAATGAATATAATGATTTTATCACTGTATATAATGATTTTATCACTGTATATAAAGATAAAACCACTCCATATAATAAAGTTTTCATTGAATATAATGATTTTACCACTATATATAATGACTTAACCACTTCACATAAAGGTTATACCACCTCATTTAAAATGAAAATGACCTTCAGGCAGCTATGGCGTTCCATAATTTTGCTGGCCTTATTATTGGATATGTACATGTAATTTAATTTTACCTGAGCATATCGTTCTAAGGAGGAAACTATACATTAGCAAAAGATCAGATCTGTTCATTTTCTGCGAGGCACCCATTTTGATGAATTCCCACTTCTTGAAGTATGTCAATCTGGCCATGGTATTTCTTGGATATTCAGAATATTCAGACTCTTTCAATGGGCCTGTCATAATAAAGACGAGATTTCCCCCTAATGAAGTGTTGCAAAGAAATACACCCCCCCCCTGCTCAAGGGACCAGAAACAATTTTTAACAATTTATTAGTTTGTAACCTTGACCGTCTACAGTTTTATCTTGAAATCAAAAGGTTTCATGTTTTACTTATAGACGAAGTTAACCTGAAAACCAATTTATAGTGAACTTGCCCTGTCACTTTTTGGTTTCAAAACCAAATAGGGATCTTTCTTAAATCATTGTCCTACTTTAAATTTCATTTCAAAAGTTTAGACTTATAGAGAGAATAGTGCATACCCTAATCCATATCACATCCTATATGAACCAGAGATTCCAATATCAGCCAGAAGACCAAAGGCCCAGGGGCTGATA